TAATCTAGTGTTCTGAGTTCTTGTCTTGGCCAGATTATAAATCCTGCATTGCTTGACATGTCATTCTACATCTCTTAGCTTTGGCCAGAAAAAAATGCTCTTACAAGTGCGAGTCCTCCGTAGCGACCTTCCTGGACAATGGCTTCTCTCACTGAACACCGGGGAATGCATAACTGACTTTGTTGGAACAGATATCCATCTGTGCGATAATATTGCCCTACTAGCTTCTCCTAACATTGCTCCCATAAGTTTTTGAAATCTTCACTTGTTTCATATAGATCCTTTAAGGCCTCGAAGCCCACAACTCGAGCCTGCATGAATGTGATCAATAGGCGGTTCTGGCTTCCCATCTTGTGCTTTAACACAAACCGAAATGAGGCTATAAATTCCACCTAGATGGAGTGTCATTCCTTTAGTTTGCTCTGGTTGCCGAGGAATTTTAGGATATTGTGATCTATAAATAGTGTAAACTTATTTGTTAATAGGTAATGACTCCAATGTTCCAGAGCTTTTACAATGGCGCAGACTTCCTTGTCGTAGGCTGAATATTTCCTCCTAAACTTGTTCAACTTCTCACTGAAGAAAGCGATAGGATGTCCTCTTTGGCTTAGTATTGCTCCAATCCCCATGCCGGAGGCATCAAATTCTACCTAAAAAAGTTGGTTGAAGTCAAATAGCAAAACAAATCAATACTGAAAATCCAAGCAATTACTCAACGAATTTTGAGCATCAAGTATACTTGCAAATCCTACTAAAACCCATTTCTGCGTATCAATTATCTCATTTTGTACCACACATCCCTATTAACTGAAAGAAAATCACAAACAAATGTTGGAGTGGGGGGCAACAAAATTGATTAGTACGGTAGTAAACCATCAATGAACCCCAAAGCACATAATATCATTATTTACATTTTACAGGTTCACTTTACAGTAATCCCTACAATCTCGTTCTGCCTCCTCTTCATTATTTGGTGAATAAATAGTTAATTTTAGCAACTGCCCTTATAAAATAATTATTACAAGGTACCACTGCGTTTCAGGATATCACATGTTTATTAACTCATTAAAGAAAAAAGGTCATGACAACATTCTCTAGCTAACAAAGCTCCTGACCAGCACCAATTTCACACAATAAAGACCATACAACAACAAAAACAAGTATTTATCCCACTAAGTGGTATTGGCAACATGAATCCTTTTTCTCCATTATGTCCTACTGAGTGTCATATTTTCATTTAATTCCAATAAATTAAGTTCATTTTTTATGCACCAAGCCCGAACCTTTTTAGACCTACCTTTACCTTACTTAGCATAAGTTAAATCTAAAACATCTACTCTCCTAATAGGATTATTAGAAAGTCGACGTTTAATTTGACCAAACCATCTAAGGCAACTCTCTCTAAACTTGTCTACCACTAAAGCTTCTCCAACACTTTCACGGATATGTTTGTTTTATATTTTGTCTCTTAAGTGTAAAACAACTCATCCACCTGATCATTCTAATGTCAGCAACACTTAATTTAATGCTTCTCTTTTATAGCCCAACATTGTGTCATAAAGCATTGCAGGTCTCACCACCATCTTATAAAGATTTTCTTTAAGTCTAAGTGTTGCTTTTCTATCACACAATAAACCCTCTGCATTCCTCCGCCTCAACCATCCAACCTGAATTTTACTAATAACATCATCATCTAAATCATCATCACTTTGGCTTTACACTTAGAGACAAAATGCGAAATGAATATATTCGTGATAGGGTTGGTGTAGCTCCTGTGACGGACAAAACTACAAAAAGTTGTCTTAGATGGTTTGGTCACATTAAACGTCGAGCATCTGATGATCCGATTCGGAGAGTAAATGTTTTAGATTCAACTTGTGTTAAGAAAGGCAGAGGTAGACCTAGGAAGACTTGGGTTTATTGTATTAAAAATGATCTTAATTTACTAGAACTATATGAAAATATGACACTAAATAGGACGCGATGGAGAAAAAGGATTCATGTAGCCGACCCCACGTAGTGGGATTAAGGCTTTGTTGTTGTTGTTGTTGTTGTTGATCACCCGTTGTTACAACCCTGCCACTAGATCTGCTATTACTAAAATTACATTCCATGTATTCAGTTTTAGATCTACTCAGATGAAGGTCTTTAAACTCTAAAGTTGACCTTCATAATTCAAGTTTTCCTTGAACTCTCTCTCTCTCTAATTTTATCCACAAAAACGATATCACGGCTAAAAGCAAACACCAAGGTACATCCTCCTACAAATATCCAGTAAGAACATCCATAACTAAAACAAAAGTATATGGGCTTAATGTCAATCCTTGATGTAATCCAACTGAAATAGAAAAATGTTTGGTCAATCATCCTTATGTTTGAGCAAGTAACAATTCTAGTATACAATTTTAATGACTTGAATATAAGCAATATCAATTCATTTTTTTCCTAGAACTCTCCTAAGTAATTCTCTTGAAACTTTATTATAACCCATTTTCTAAATCAACAAAAAACATATGTAAATCCCTTCTCTCTGAGTACTTTTACATCAAACCTCTCAATAAATGTGTAGCTTTCATAGTAGACTTGCCCAACATGAATCTAAACTCAATTTGAGAATTTTTTGTATCACACCTTAACCTATATTCAATTACTCTCTCTCACAACTTTAATGTAAGATACATTAACTTAATTACTCTATAATTTACACATGTTATACATCCCTTTATTCTTAAAAATAAGAATCAATAAACTATTTCTCCATTCATCCGACATCCTTTAGTTTTAAAAATAGTATTAAAAGTTTAATAAGCTAAGAAATTCTGAGAACTCCTAAATATTTTCATACTTCTATTGAAATATCAACAGATTTTACTACTTTTTCACACTTTATTTTCTTTTAAGACTCCAACATTTATTTTACTAATATGCTGGCAAAAAAAAAATATTTAAGATATTAAGATCGCTAAAATCAGTGGTATTTTCACAATCTTTATTGAAAATTTTATCAAAATATCTCACGCTTCTATGTTGATTAACCTCATTAAAGAAAAGTATTTTTTTTATATTTATTCATAATATACATTAATTGAACTAAATCTTTACTTTTCTTATTTCTATGACTGACTACATATATCTTTGACTGTCTTTAATACTTAATCTATTATAAAGATCAATAAAAAAAAAATTCTTATCACAAACTGTTTTCTTAGAGACTCTCTACGAACAACCTAATATTTTCTCGAATTCTCCAAACTATTACATTTAAACCATTTTTTATAACAAAATTTCTTGATTATATTTTCTAGTACATTATTATTCCATTATAAGAGATTTTTTCCTTTTGATTTTCCAAACATATCTTTTACAACTTGGTTAATGTATTCGTTATTTTAGCTCACATAATATTAGTTTCTTTATGAACATCCAAAAACTTAAAATTTAATCGTAAAACAAATTTTATTTGTCTTTAAATGCTCCAATCTAATTCTATGATAATATTTCGTTGTATTTTTCATCTTCTAATCCTTTATCTTAATATCCAAAACCAATAATTGGTATTAGATGCTTCAATTATTACTTGTAATAACCTTACAATCGCGACGGTCTATTTTTCACACAAAAATAATTAATTTGTACTTAATTAAATCAATTCTTATAAGTGATAATATGTTCTTCCGATTTCTTAAATAAAATATTAGCAAAAATAAAATCATAAATAAAAAGCAAAATCGAATATGGTTCAAATTTTGTCATTTGTTACTTCAAAATATAATCATGATAAATACTTATAAAATTTTCTCCTATTCTTCAAACATATCCATTTAAATCACCTCTAATAAAAATTATTTCTTCAAAAGATATCATTTGTATTAATTTTTCTAAATAATTTCAAGATTCTTTTTGAATATATATTCAAACCAACTTAAAGAGCATGAGCACTCATAATAAAAAGAATCTTGTGTCAAGAATAATCTTAAGAGTGAAAATTTTATCTCTCATTTTATTAATTTTCACAACATGAAAATTTTATCTCTAATTTTATTAATTTTCACAACATTATATTTCAAACTCTTATCTATTATCACACATACATTATTTCTAGTACAACTCCAACCTGAATATCAAAATTTAAAACCTAAATTATCAATCTCTTTAGTCTTTTATCCAACTCATTTAGTTTCTTGAAGACATAAGATATTTATCTTCCTATGAATCATAATATCTAAAATTCTATTAATTTACCTCTAAGAATAACAATATTCCAAGTTTCTATCCTAGTATTATTTTCATAGACTAATTTCTTTGTTTGCATCTGTCCATATTGTAGGAACCTTTGCTTATTTAACACTAGTACACCCGGGCATCGGGAAACAACCATGCACACTTTACTATATTCAAGTTATACGACGCATCACTTCTAAGGGACACCCTAGCATGGACACAATGATTCAAATGATTCATGTCATACTATTTCGATAAAATTTTCGCAATAGCTGCCAATCATCTAAAGCAACTCTCACTATAAACCATGTATTACAAAAAGGATGATTAGGGTAGCATCATAAAACATAAATAACTCAAAATAAACGCTAATTCTCCCAAAAAAATCCTTCATTTAAATTCAATTCAAGACAGATTTTGATCAGGTGGATCAATAAAAATAGTCCTCAAATAAAGAGCATAACATTCACCAATTTGAATGGTCATCTAAAGATGTAGGCCCCAATTCATACTCTACATTACAGCATATTGCAGAAAGATTATTAAGGGATACCTAAGTCATATAATCATATAATTCATACTCTACATTGCAGCATATTGCAGGAAGATTATTGAGGAATAGCTGAGTAATATACTCATTGATATGAAAAAAAAAATGAGATAACGGAGTTACCTTCTAGTACATAGGTTAGCATATGAAAGTGAAAAATATATACAAGCATATAGTTTTAAGATGAAACTACAATAAAAGAATAACGTATCGGTGAACGAATTAGAACCTTGACTTCACGGTAGTGAACAAGTACAATGTGCATTAATTCCCTGCAAAAAAAAAAGAAAAAAAAAAGACATTTATCTGCAAAACTCAAAAATAAGAATAAAACCTCGAGTTCAGGAATATACCAGCGACCTTTAATGTATCTTATATAGAGAATATAAAGCTGGAATACCTCAAACATAAACCATTTTGTTTCCAACCAAACGTGAAAGGTTGAGGGCTAATATCATACTGGCAGCCAGTTGTCGAATGATGTCAAACTAATAAAATGAATCCTAACTCCAGAAGGACAAATAAAGACGGATTCTAAAAAGCCAACACCACAGAGTTGGGCTAACGATAGAGATAATGAAGTTAAGGAGACAAACAGAGGAAACATATAAAGCATCCAAGAAATCTTAACTAAAAGGCCGTCTGTAACAGGAAATAAAATTGGAAACTAAGATAAGTCCGGGTGTTCTTAAAAAAAAAAAAAAAAAAAAAAATTAAATAAGGACCTATGAAAAAAAAAATTCACCGGCAAAGCATTTTCATAATACATAGATACTATTTACCAAGCTAACTAAGGTACATGAAGCAATTTTTGGTGGTAGGTGTATGTAAATTCTGGTGGGAGACAAGGAAAGAATATAAAGAAAGAGGAGTTAACCAAAAATCATTGAAGAGGAATACATAATTTTAGAAAGCATGAATCCAAAAGTAGCATTATTTACCTTTTCCTTTTGGAACAAAAGGTAGCTGGCCGAAAAGCCGCCCTAGTTTCTCTTAGATGCTATAGACAATCTAAGGCATTATGTTGCTTTTTCTATGAATAATTCTCTATAAGTATGTTTAAAGTAAGTTTATCCCGTGTTCCGAAGCAATAAGCAGCAATGCAATATCCGAGGTTTTCTTTTTGCTTTAATATGAGCGCAAAGCAAAGCAACTCTCTTGCCAACTAGAGCATTGAGAGGCTCTATTATCACATATAATTAAATGCATACAATGATTATTTATTGAATCAAATTTAAATTACATCAGGTAATAATTTTTTCAGCAAATATAATGATATGTTCAATAATAATAATTTCTAGGAATTTGAAAGCCAAAAAAAATAAAAAATATATAAATGAAATAAAGATGAAATGATGTAAGAATACTTAAAATTCAATAATATGCTCGCGAGATCAAATGACCAGCAATAGAAAGAAAGGTGGAGGCAACATTAAGCAAGAGAGCTTGTGAAGACGAGGGAAAGGAAAAAGCATTCTCGAGAAGAAGTTCGTGGGCAAAAACTAATAGTATCATCAATATAATTTAGTATGACATGAAGTGAGTAGCTTCAATAGAAGAGAGCAATCAACCAACAAACAACAACCAAATGGCTATGAGAAACACTGACAAGAATCAAACAACTATGCATATTATTGTGGAAGATATTAAATCAAACCATGATATCTAAAAGTGCACAAGATTTCCACTGGTTTGGTGAAGCAAAGCAATACATGTACTTTGTTGTGATCTGCTTCACAGGAAAGCGACGCCAGGGCAAATACAGTGCATTATTTCACTCCTAAAGAAAGCTTTTAACAACACCATGCATTCCACAATTCAAAGTTCAGCAAATTCAGTCAAGTAAAATGAAATAACACAAAGAATTTAAAAAGTAAAAATAAAAGAAAGAGATGCAGTCTCAAAATATATATATATATATATATTGCTCCCTTACCCTTCCAACATCCAGTAACTCCTCCTCTGAAAGCCCTCTTTGTCTTCACCATGAGCATAATAGCAATGCAAAACATCAATGCTCCCAGCCTGAAATTCAGCAAAATATGCAACAAATTTATAATATTTGTCAGGTAAGCAAGAAAATATGAAATTTCAACATGCCATGAAATATCTTGTAATCATAGTGAGGAAAATGGGATTACTTAGACAAGTAGATTATTCCAAAAACAAAAGCTTTAATAACAAAATAATTTTAGGAACATAGTTAAGTCGTATATATATGACAATAATAATCTTTAGTAAATATTATTTTGATCTAAATTAATTAAATTTAACAACATAATCACTAGTTAATAGAATACTGTTAGATTAACTAATATTCTAACTAATTATAACGTAAAGTTTAATTAATATTTTAGTGACAAGTTTTAAATAATTAACTTAGTTAAACGATAACTAATTGTAATTCTTTATTGATTGAAATCAGTAATTAAATATGAAATTCAATATTATAACCATAAAATAATTAGAGCATAACTTTAATAAATATAATATAAAATAAAATCATAACTACTTCCTAGTTAAACTATGTAAATAGCTAGTTAATGATTACTTTCATCAAATTTAAGTTTGTTAATTATTTCAAACATACAGATTATACTTAATACTAGTAAATATGAAAGATCTTAATTAAAAACTTAATAAATCTTTAATTGGTCAAATGATACTTAACATATCAATAATTCTTCTTTATCAAAACAAATTAGCTATTTATTTTAAGCATGATCATCACAATTTAATAATGATAAAATATTAACTATTTAATTAAATTCCAATTTTATGAGCACTTTCGAATAGTGAGATGCAGAGTGAGCTATGCTCCCGCGATCGTGTAAAGACCGAACCGAGTGGCACTTTTTTCATTTTCTTTCCAATTTTAGCCAATTTTGTCCTTTCCTTCCAATCCTTTCTAGTTAGTTCCTAGATATATGTTGTATTAGGGTTTAAAGGGAAGTTTTTAGTGAGTTTGATTAGGACAGCTGCAACAGTTCGTTTTCTCTCTTCGAGGGTTATATCCGAAGAATTGTGTGGTGCTCTGGTTGTATCTCTCTTTTGATGTGGTCATTATATTCTCTTATCCCCTTCTGTGTCCTCCTATATTGCTCCCAAGCACCCCTTCCCTGCCGCAGCGGCCGGGAATAGCCTCTCTTTGTTGCTTTTTACAGCTCTTTTCTTCCAGCGGCCTTCCTCGCACTCCTCGCTTTGCTGTCAAGGCCCCTTCCCCACTACAGCCGCCCAGGATAGCCATCATTATTGTTCCTTTCCAACAGCTCTCCACTTTTCAGCCACCTCCCTTTCACAATCCTGGTCATCCTCCTTGTGTATCAGCCGCCGACCCTCCCTCGTGTTGTTTTACTACAGTTTTCCCCTTCCTAGCCAGCACTATTCTCGTCTCCTGCTTTGTTTTCCTTGTTGTCTTAGCCCTCCACCTTCGTTGCCACGGCCCACAACACCTTTCCTTTGCTGTTTTGTTGTTGTTTCAGCCGCCCACAAGCCTTATCGCATCTCATCCACCTTCTAGAAACCTTACCTGCTTAATCTGCCACCCCCCAACACCCCAAACTTCACGTTTCAATGCACCTAGCCAACCTCCACCACCCTTAGGATACACTTTAGTTGTTTGTTTGTGTTTGTTGTTGTATTTTTCCTTTCAAGTTTGTTGTTGGTTGTAACCTCCTATTTGCTTTCAGACATAATAATTGTTTTTTCGTAATGTGATTTGGGTTAACTCCGACATCACTTTAAAGCAAATTTAATAACAAATTCACACACATACTACATATTGAAGGCTTCAAGCCCAAGACTTATTGGTTGAAAGCTTATGCTCCCAGCCTATAAGCTGTGGTTGGCTACTTTTCTTCATTAATTGCTAATTCAGCTAAACATTAAATTATCATATGACTATTTATCAATTAATTTTTCATTCTAGAGCTATGAATTGCAAAAAAAAATCATAAAAACCTAATCATCCCAACAAAAACTCTAATCATCCTCTAATCACCCTTAATATATTAATAATGAAAAAAATTAATTCAGCTTGTTAATCCCAATCAAAATAATAAAACTCCAATAAAATATTAATAATCTTTTTCATATGCTAATTAACCCTAATTAATACCTCAATAGTATATTAATCAAATTAATTGAAACAATCATTTAGATATATTTCCAAAGCATATGAAACAGCCATTTTTTTTCCAAAACCAAAAAAATGAAAAGAAATTGTCAAATACATTCTCCCTACTTAAGCGCACCTGCTATTGAAAATAGAAAACAATAAACATAAAGAAGTCCTAAAAGACTGACATCTTCAATAAAAGAACTCGAACTATCAATTTCAAGAAAATAAGGGTCAGTCTAGTAACGGATTTAGAGCAGGATTTAACCCATATTTAACCAAAGTCTTGTCATACGATCATTCTGGACAAAATAAAGCCCAAGATTTGATAAATCCGGAATTCACAGATTTTGGCTTTAAATCCTGGATTTGCTGAATCCCTTGAATCGGCGGATTTAGTAAATCCGGAATAGGCTTTCACGCGAAAAGGAACATGTGAAGCTACCTTTTGGTAGGAACATGGCCAAAAGAGGAGCAAGATAAGAATTTCAAGTCTCTTTACATCGCGATCCCATCGTTGCCTTACCAATTGTCTCTAATCGTAACTGTAATGTGAGGGTTTGATCACAAAGGATATAGTTTTGGGCGAAACTAGGAAGCCGAGAGAGGGTGAGTGAAGTAGGAGAGGGTTTCGGGCAGTGAGGAGAGAGGGAAAGGATGATAGGTTTGCGATTTTATTTTATTTTTTTTAAATTAATTTTATTATTTTAATTGAGTAATAATAAATAATTAATTAAAAGAGTGTTAAATTAAAAACAATTAAAAAATTTTATGTCTAATTATTAATAACTAATTATTGAATAACAAGTAATTTAAATTTTAAGTAATTCTTAATTCATATAATTAATTACTACTTAAATCAAAATTAATGTTAAATTATTATTTAATAAGTAATTAGTTTAATATTTTTTTAATTAAACTCTTAGTAAATAATTAGATATTAATTAGCATAATAAGAACTAAATTAAAATTTAAAATTATTTTTTATTCTAGTAATAAAATAATTTTTTTTATTCTAATAAACATAACAAACTATTAAATCATCACAGAAATTGCCAAACATCTTGACGAAATTTAACTGGATTTATCAAATCCGTCGTCACACAATTTTTGGGATTTAAGCCTTGTAGGATTTTACTAAATATGGATTTACTAAATCCTACTAACATAAATCTAATTCATTGGCATACAACCAATATATTTCCAAAGCATATGAAACAGCCATTTTGTTTCCAAAAACAAGAAAATGAAACCAAGTTGCCAAATACGTTTTCACTACTTGGGCACACCTGCTATGAAAAATAGAAAACAATAAACAATAACAAGTCCTACAAAACTCTAAAAATTCTTCATAGTTTTATACGAACAAATTCAATGACATCTTCAAATCTTGATGAGGGTCAATAAAAGACCTCGAACTATAATACGGATTTTAATAAATAAGCGGTAAGAATGCCTAAATTTTGAAAAGGACATACAGAACCAGGAAAACTAGGCAGGATTTTTCATAGTATTTACTGCATCGTGAATGCCAACATTGAATCCAGAATAACTAGTTTACATGAACCAGTCCAGTCATAGTATGCATCTAAAAATATTAAACTATATTTTCACTTACTTTTAGCTTCTCATAACTTACTTTTAACTTCTCATGAGCTTCCTTCACAGTCTTTCCATCCTTTTTCTTCCTCCAATTATGTCCATCCTTCCGGAAATATCTCAATACCTTACGATCAAAAAGAAAGAGTGAACCACCTAAATTTAACATACACCAAGTTAGTGTATACCGTGGCAAACGAATTGCAAGTGGCATGCAGAAGAACTCACCATTTTAATAATAGAATTATGCTGTGCAAATAATTACAAGTAACACTCTCATAATCATGGATGAGCACGATGAAGATTTTTGTCAGAAAATATAAATTGAACATCGCTAAGAACATAATTATCATTCATGTTCCCAATTACTTTCTTCTGTTTTCCAGATAGCACAAATTATAAAATAAGATGTACAATTTCTTAAAACGCCTAAAATAAACAATGATGGGGTTTAAATAACATAGGAGTTCTAAAAACGTTTACAGGGAAACTAATTATCACCCAAATATTCTAACGGCTTATCCCTTCCACTTTTCTAACAGCAGGAGAAAAAGGAATTGAATCTACACATCCCTAAAAGGTTAGAAATAAACAGCATTAGGGTTTGGAGAATGAAAGATCAGATAACTAAGGATCACTTACTCTTTTATTTTACTTTTCATTTTTATTTGATTTGTTTATATCTTAATATGAAATAAAAAAGAAAATTAAGTGTTGTTTTCTTTTTAATGAAATTGCATGAGGCAGAGCCGACAAGTGTTGATGGCAGTGGCAGACATGGTGGGTGATGGCCCGGATGATTTTCATTTAAGAAAATAAAAACACCTAAAAATGTTTCAAGTATTTTCAAAAATAAATAATAAAGAACAGATAAAAACACAAACCAAATATATATTTTTTGATACAAGAATAAAAAATTATCTCAAATAGCCCCTAAGTTTATATGAAAATTAGACATCACCTATGCTTATGAGAGGCACATTCTAACAAAATCTAAGGTGATAATTTAGTGTCTGTTTGGGGCGCGTTTTTCGCGCGGTGTGGCCCCAAACCGCGAAGCTGAGCACGAGTTTGACGTTTGGATATAGCGTTAGCGTAAAATATAGAAAAAAAAAGAAAATCAAGAAAAAAAAAAGATTTATAAACATACCACTCAAATGTTATGTAGTTGTTTGTATAAATACCATTCAATTTCAATGAATTAGTTTATATATATATCACTCAATTGTTATGTAGCTGTTTACATAAATAACATTCAATTTCTATGAAGTAATTTACATACATACAACTCAATTTCTATGAATTAGTTTACATACTTCACATTCAATTCACACATACCACGCTTGGTACTCTCCTGTAAATGAAGTGTGTATCTAATTTTTTTTTACTGTTTCGAAGTGAATTTTTGTTTCTAAAGTATCAAAATTATGGTTATGACAGTTATATTATAAACAATATTACTAAACAGGGGCAAAATGATCATTTATCCAGAAACAGCTCCAGTACAGTTGTTTTCAATCAGCTGAAACAAACAACCAGTCAGCTTCCCAACAGCAGCTTCCCCACAGCAACTTCCCCGCAGCAGCTTTTTGGGGCAGCACAGTTGAATGTCACGGATTAACCTTCTCCAAGACACCCGAGCGACTTTAGCGCTCTCCTTTAACACTAAATCAATCTAATCCTCACAACGCTTAGACTTGTGAGCACCAAGCACTCTTAAGAAGAATAATAGAGAGAAAAAAACACTTCACACTTGATATTTGAAAACTTTGATTGAATGCTTAGGTGATTACAAATCAGGGGAGGGGCTCCTATTTAAAGCCACCTCCCAGACTAATTGAATACATTAGATTATTCTAGTTTCTAGAAAGTTCTATACTTCTCTCTTATGTACATATATAACCCTATAACTTTATAGGTTACTCTTGATTTTTCCTTGAAGTTTTCCCTTCTAGCCTTCTCCGAAATATGGTGGAATCTTTTAGAGTCCCTTGGATGCCTCTCTATTTTCTGACACTCTATAGAACTTTTCATCCCATGAGGGTCTTGCCGCTTTCTAGAATATGGTGGAGCGTGACATGTAGCTGAAAAGTTGAGAAGTTGCAGCTTCCCCAAACAGACCCTAAGAAGGAATGAAATTATATTTTATAACAAAGGTTTTACTCAAAGAATTGAAGTAATCCGAGGTGAAAAACCAGACAAGATCAAGAGAATTTGCCCAAGGATCTTAGTAGGAAAGCTGATAAATAGTACATAAAATTTTGATTTGCCCAAAACTAAACTTACAACCTTATCAGATTAAAGCCTAAAATGATATTGATAATAATCCTAGCATGGAAGTTCAGAGGAGCGAGAGGGATAGAAAATATTATAGTTCATTTGTAGGGGACCATGATGTACACATAAGATTTTTATGCAAAATCATGTTTAAGAACGCTTTGATGCTAAATGAAGAGGAGAAGATAAGAACAAGTCAATGATTTCTACTAGTATAGGTAGTTGTCTGTAACTGATATAGGCGAATAAGAACATGGCTTGGCAGAATCGCAGCTAATGTGCGACTAGGACGTGGGAGGCTAAAACTCCCGCATGAGCGGAAACAGCTGATCAGCCTGAACGATCCAATGGAGGGCCGGTCCAGGTTAAACCTAGGCCAAGCAACCTGAGGAGAGATTTTGACGGGGCGGGACTACCCGCCGCCCCTCTCCTCCTTCCTTTTCTACTACATCTACATATGAAAGTGTTTTAATGGCTAATTTTTGGATATTTCTTGTCTCCCCACCCCTTCCTATTGTGTGAGATTTTCCTTTTTTATTTCTTTCCTTTTCTTCTTCATCTAAAAGTCTATAAATTATTGTTCTCTGATTGTAGGATGGGAGTTTTTGCTGTGTGGGGTCTTTTTCTATTTTGTAGGGTTGTATCTAAGGAGACGACGGTGCTCTAGTTGTATCCTACTCCAAGGTGGTGATTGTATCTCCTCATTTTTCTTCCCCTAGACCTCTCAGTCCCTACCCCTTAGCTGCTGACCGCTCTGATCCTCCCCCAAGTGCTGCCAGACAACTTTCCAGTGGACTAAGCTACTGTCCAGTCCCGCAACCCGTTGTTTTGCAACCAAATCTGTCGTTCAACACTCTATCCTTGTTGTCGTCACCCCGGACAACAAACCTGTGTTGTTCCTGCCATTTCTGCCACACTTACTTGTAGATGTTGCACTGAACAGCCATTGCAGTTTTTGCAGTTTCTCACTCCACCTTTGCTACCGCCACACCACTGGCCATCCCGATCCACCTAGCAGGTGTTGCTTGTGTTGTGTATGTCGGTGTTGTTAATTTATGTTGTGTTGTAAACATATTTCCCTATTAATAAAAGTGTGTTTTTTTGTTTCTACTATTTTTCCTACTAGTTCCAGTATCAACAGGACTTATTGAAGTAGGAAGCATAGTTATGAGACATGAGTGCCATAGAGATGAAGCAATGTAAATGTATCATAGGTCATTGTGACTGGAGGACAAGAAGATATCAATTGAAGGCATGCAACGAGAATAGAAGGGAAACGAATATAGTGTGGTAGATAAACCAATAAGAATTAAATTTGGATTTCAATTAAAGAAAATTACAGTTAGAAGAGAAAACCTAGGGGGAAAGAAAGCGACGAAAAAATGTAGAAGGGAATCTTTCAATTTCTTTTCAATCAATAATAAATCTAATTGCATCCTAAAAGACTTGCAAAAAATAAGGTTATAAGATATTTCAGAAAAAGAATCTAATATAGATCTCAATCACTCTTAATAATGCTATTATCTAATTTCAAATAAAAATAATCCCGATAATTAATAGAATTAAAGAGAGACATTATTTAAAATTACCTAATACAAAGAATACATTGTCACTTTTTAGAAAAATAAATCGCATTGAGACTTATGCCTCATTAACCTAGAATGAGACGTATGCCGCACCTCAATTTTTTCAGCTTGTCTATATTTTTTTTTTTAACAAAAGCTAAAAATTAATACCAATATACTCCACTGATTAACACTCATCTCATAAACTAGTTAGCAAGAAATAATCAAAAAAAAATATTCATAAAAATATTAGTAGTTAGAATTTTAATCATCAACATAGACTTTTTTTTTAATTTAAATTAATAATTTTATTGAAAATTATTGATTAGGAAAAAAGAAATGATTGGCATTGAAGATGATGAAGAATGAGAGAACATGAATATAACTATGGATAAACATGAGAGAAAGTATCCATTATATTGATGCTTATAATAAAGACAATATATTTGATAAGAGTGACAAAGATTTTTAAATTTAAAAAAAAAAATGTTGATGGCTTGTTATATTATTACTCAAGTCGATGATTTAGAGAGATGGATATTGAACCTATTTTTGCACTAATTTTATTATATTTTTTATTTTATTTAGATATCTTAATTTTGATGTTTGTACTATCTTTTTTATGATTTTATATTGGAATGTTAACATATTATTTTTTACTTTGTTAGAGTATTGATACTTTTTATTGCATTAATATGATTTACACTTTGAAGTTATACAATATGTCTTCTAATAAGCATTTTTTAAATTTGAGACATGCTCCTCAAAACTCCTTAAGCCGCGCTATACTCTGAAGCATAATAAATTCTAATATATTTCAAAACTAATAATCGATGAGTACTTAAATTTTCACTTGTAATGACCTTATAATCTTCACATTCTCGACGATCTCTTCTTCTCATAAGAAAATAATCAATTTGTATTTTATTAGATCCACTCTTATAAGTAATAATATGCTCATCTCTTTTCTTAAATAAATATTAGCAATAACAAAATCATACGCTAAAGTAAAATCTAAGATGGTTCTACCTTCTTAATTATTTAATCTAAAATCGTAGCCACCATGAATATTTTTAAAATCTTTTGTCACTCTAGCAACATGTTCATTTAAGTCTCCTTCAATAAAAAGTCTTTCTTCAAGAGATATCATTGTATTAATTCTTCTATGTCAATCTAAAATTTTTCTTTATAACCTATATCTAAATCTATTTGAGGAGAATAAGCGCTTATAATATTAAAAATTTTAGCATCAACAACAATCTTAAGGGCTATAATTCTATCTCCAATTCCATTAATTTTTACAACATTCTCTTTTAAACTCTTATCTATAATCACACCACCATTTCTAGTGTGACTCCTACCTGAATATCAAAGTTTATATCTCTAATTCTATTAATTTTTACAACATTGTCTTTTAAACTCTTATCTATAATTACACCACCATTTTTAGTGTGACTCCTACCTTAATACAAAAGTTTAAAACCTAAGCTATCAATCTTCTTAACATTTTCTCCAACTCATTAGTTTCTTTAATACATAAGATATTTATCTTCTTATGAATCATAATATCAACTAATTTCATTAATTTACCAGTGAGAGTACAAATATTCCAATATTTTATCCTAAAATTAGTTTCAAGAACCAACTTCTTTACCCACATTAATCTATAACGTGCGAATCTTTACTTATTTGACACTATACTCGAACGTCGGTGTAGCGACCATTGCACATTTTTCACTGTATTCAGGTCATACAACACGTCGTTTCCAGGGGATGTCATAGCATTCACACAAGAATTTACAGGATTTATGTCATGATTTTTCAATAAATTTTATGTTGGTTGTCGAGAACTCAACGCAACTCTCCAATTTTCACATCCGGGGCTTGGGACCCGACAATGACAATGTTGAAGATGAAAAATTGTATGAATTTCTAAAATTGGGACAAGCTTTTACAACTTTGGAGTTCAATAAAATGCAATATAAATGATTTATCATCATTTTGGATTAAAATTAATAGGAAGATCATATGCATAATCATCAGATGATCTATTCTAACAATGACATTCATATTCATCGTGAAACCTAATATGAGATCCATGATAATCTTCATATTGATAGGAATGAGAACTATGATCACATAGATAATCATCATAAAGTTGCATTGCGACCAACAATGGTGGCACAAACTCAACATGACTTGAGATGATGCTAATATCAATATTGGTGTGAATCAAATTAAATATCTAGAGAGTGATCTTGCAAGAAAATAAAATTCAATAAAGAAAGCCTATTTCCTCATCTTGAGAATATAGAAGATATTTTGATCTCGATAATAGGCTAAAGCACGACTTTAAATGTGGGCTCAAACATAGTCATGAGCACAATCTATGCATAAGGATCACAAAGATTCTTGATTAAAAATGATTGATCATCATTATAAAATTCAATAATATAACAAGATTATCATAATAATAATAATGATCATATAGATCAACTCATCAAAAAGATCAAAAATTTAAATTTGCAAAGGTGAAAAATCATATGAATTTCTAACATTGGCACAAGCTTTTAAAGCAATGGAGTTCAATAAACTTTAGTATAATATAATTTATCATCAGGAAATGATGAATTTGGATTAGAATGGATAGGACGATTCATGATGAATTTGGATTAGAATGGAAAGGACGATCATATGCATAATCATCAACTGCACCAAACAAGAAAGCTATTGTGCTGAAAATCGCAGTAGAAGGGGTCGATTTGCAAGTTTTATCCTTGATGTACGTGCAAGGTTGCTTCTCTGTGTTGAATCCTTCGATGGAGCCAAGGAAGAGAAAGATCAAAACAACAAATGCAACCATAAAGATCGCCACATACCTGTATGCAGCAAACAGGAAAGATGTAGCTCCTTCGGAAATAGCTCTCTAGATTTCGACGCACTTGACAAAAAAGTTATGCTCGTTCGAGCCCTCTTCCTATTAGATAAGATATTCGTCTATCCCATCCTTACTGTTCTTCGGTGATGCTGTTTACCGGTCAGGTGTGAGTTGAACCTTAGAGACGAGCAAACACTGAATTAGAACAAAGGCAATCCCGATCACAGCCTCCACCTCAAACTCTCCTTGAAGAGATCAAACATAATAGCTCTTCTCATTCTCAGATCTAGGATTTCCTCTTGGCGAAGATGGAATTTCTAGAAAGAGATTTCCACTAGAAAGAGAAAATATGAGGAAAGCTTGGCTTAGTACAGGTGCAACTAACATGGGTAGGCGCAATGGGATCAAAGGTCACAAATTTTGCTCTGCTCAGGTCGCAGCTCCTGCTCTGCACCGGCCAATCGATTCCTACTATTCCAAAGGCCGCCGAAACTTAGAATCGTGTGGGATGGAGGGCCTACAGGGATTTGTTCCGGCGGAGAGGGCCTCGAGGGAGAGAAAGAGCCCCTCCCTTCCCGCAAGGACGATAGCAAGAAGGGAGTCCCACGGTATTCGAAGGACGACCGGTGGCTAGTGTACGAAATTTGGCTCTGATACCATGTTAAGTTCAGAATAATGCGGAATAAAGTAGAATAATTTCATTGATATGAAAGGGGGTATAAATAACCCTTAAATGAATCCTAGAATAGGAAAGACAATAAAAAAAAATAAAAGGAAAAATATAACTCCTAATATCTCTAATTAATCAATTCATATTAATTACTTTAGAGATAAAGGAAATAACATAAAATAGGAAAGAGAATAAATCCAATTCAAGGAAATAAATATAAAACAGGAAAAGAAATAACTCTTATTTTAAGAAAATAAATATAAAATAGAAAAGAAAGAAAATAATATATTCCTCATAACTTCTCACAGAAATAAATTATTTCTTAATATAATGTCTAACATGTTTCATTATTATACATAAATTATTCTCTACATAGAAGAAGAAAAACATTTGAAAGAATCGCTCGACTTAGACACAAATAATTTTGTCGATGGCACTATTATCATCATGAATTTTCAACGATCTTTGTAGTAAGGAACATCAAGAGGACTTAAATTTTCATGTGTAAATCATTTGATATAAGTCCATTAACCTTTCCTTTCAATTCAGTATGACTACCCACATTCATTCTTTAGTAACAAAAAAATTAGTAATTGAGCATCTAAAATAAGATATATTAAAGGATAATGGGCAGTAAAGAAACCGATGATAGATCAATTGAAATTTTTATTCATTAGATAAATTTGTGATTATGGAAGAAAAAGAGAGTCCATAAAGAGAACAAAAAAAGAGTAGATGGAGAGAGGAGAGAGAATGGAGGAGAGAATCGACAATAAATTCAATTAAAAAAAAACAATTCCCAAGGAAATAGGATTAAAAGCTAAGATAAAAAATACAAAGATACGTATAAGAAATTTCAGCACTAATTCCAAGAAATATGCTCAAGCAATAAAATAAGTCATACATATATTTTATACATACAATTACTTAGTTGTTTTTTTGCTAACACATTTATCTACTTTAAATTAATACTTTCTTTCAATAAGGTTACCTTTATGTATTTTAAACATTCCATATAAACTCTTCCACCACAATTTCTAAATTATATCTCCAAGGAACAAAAAATCAAAATTTTACTTTGAAAACATTAATTTCTGTATTTTGTAAGAAACATGTGCACACTAGACAACAAATTAGTGGTAGCGCATTAGAATTAATTAATACATAACACAAACATCAAAGGCTACAAATTCAGAAGCATATAAAATTCTTTGCATGATAATGCCCAAAATAAATTGGAAAACAAATGTGCATGCGAGATCAAAATATGATGCATACTAGTAGGCTTATTGGGAGGCTCCGGTTCAATATGAAATTTATGATTGTTTCGTAGGATTTCACAAATTTCAGTTGGGCGTAGCCACCTATGTTGTGCTTCATGAAGTATTTTCTCAATATCTATGGAAGAAATGAAAACATGAAATTAGAGCTCGATGTGAATGTGGATGGAAACCCAAAAAATAAGAGACAAAAGAACAATTCGAGTAAAAGTGTAAAAGAATTAAGGCATTAGATAAACACCATAGGAACAAATTTCAAGAAACTATTTAACATAGACAATTATCAAACATAAGTTACAGAAAATATAAGAATAAAATTAAATTAAACTTGATACTAATAGGTTCTTCATGAATTAAATACAGGGTATTTCGTTACTTGAAGCAATTGATGTAATGACTATTTGTTTGAAAGTGATGAAGGTTATGACAATTTCTATAAAACAGAGGAATTTATATGATCATCAACATCATAAACCACATCCTAACAAGTTAGGTAAGGCTTTTAGCGCTCATTTCTTCGAAGGACAAAAGATCTAGAAACATGAATGCATCAAATAGAACTTTATTCATACCTCAATAAAAACATACTATATGATAAATACTCTTTTACACACCTACTCCTAAGCTCAGCTCAACCCATATGTTTTTAGCAATTCATTTTACATTTTTTATTATTTCTAATATGTATGTATGTATGTATGTATGTATGTATATGTATTCTTGTTAAAGATGGTTGTGGTGATTTAGTAAGTGCAGGTGCATCAAACAATTCTCATACTATATAATCCTTACTACTGAGTATCAAGTCACACAATTCTCAAGCTAAAGATGCTAGTCAAGACCATAAAAGGTTTATCAACTCTTTGTTACGACATTTTAAATGTGCCTAAATTTATCAAATCAACGCAAAATACAATGGCTTGGAACTACCATTTATCTATTGCTTAATAGGTCCATGACTATTGATGGATTCAGTTTCATTTGAAAAGTTGTGATGTTGTTTTGCTTTATGTGAAAAATAAAGTCATTGATACAGTGACAAAAATAAATATTTTAATTTGCAAGTGCACTGTCCCAAGTCATCAGAATGTGTAAATGCAATAAAAGGCTTTCCTTTGTGTGTCTCTTTAACAAATCAAAATTGTCTGACAGGTCTTACAAAAAAAAAAAAGAAACTGAAAGGCTTTCCTCAATGAAGCCATTGTCTGGGGCAAAGGTTTTTACAAAGTAATGGACTATCATACCAATAGAGTCATACTCCCACCACCAATTAAAAGGAATAAGCTCAGCAGTTGCATTATCATCCCCACATGCTAACCTTCATATTGATATAAAATCTCCAAGTACAGTCATCTAATATTGAGCATGACTAAATTTTTTTTCAAAGACTTTAGGTTAAACTTGCGATGATAAAATAACTATGAAATAATTTGTCAACAAATTGAACCCTGAGAGCTTAACCATTTGGAAATAAAATATAATTAAGAGGAATTTTTCCATAATTTCCCCATAAAATTAATTTATAAATTTTAATGTGACAATTAATACATAACAAGATAGCACAGTTTCACACTTTCATAAAGATAAATATAGGTCGTGGATCAACTACCAAATCTTCCATTCTACAACCTTTAAGTGTAAACTCAATATCACCGGAGTAGATCCAAAACCTAAGAAAAAACCTCTCATCAGATTTGATCGCTTTTTTTATGAAGATTTGGAAGTTGATCCATATTTATGAAGAAATAGATAATATCCCCATTACAATTACTATTGTATAAAAAGTTCTTGAAATCAATTACTTTTAAATATTTCTATATGTTCTATCATATGATTAAAAAAATCAATTTAATTTAGAAAATCCTTTGATTAGTTGATTTTGCTATCTAGATATATAATCAGATCATCTTGGGATTTAGATGAAGTGGCATCATACTACTCTTAATGATAAAGTTTATAGCTAAGGAGGTTACTCGCAACAACTGTAAAGAGGGAGGATGGTGGGAGATTTTTTCCACCCGCATTTATGCACACGCTTTTGGTCATCATGCCAATTAGGTCACTTGCAATAGCCACACGGAGGGACGGTGTGAGGTCACTTGCAATAGCCACACAGAAGGAAGGTGTGAGGTCACTTGAACCATGCTTCAAGGAAGTCTATAAAGGTTCTCACTCAGTATACTTTTCGAGTGTTAAAGTTTAAAGTCAAATAACTAATTTCTTAATAGCAGCATAATTCAAATACTCCCAAAACTTGACTGGTGCTCATAAATCCAATCCTATCTAATAGATTGTCATAACAAGAATCCCTCAGTCCAATCCAGTAAAGTCATCATGCTTAAGAGAGCACTTCGAACAGTTGTGCAGAGGGATGGTGGGAGCTCGTTTCCCCAAAACCTTACTAGCAACCGCGCAAAAGTATTTGTCCTCATAGGCCACAGCAAGGCTTTGCAGGTTGTATTAGCTCTAAGAATGCCAAAAAATTCTCAGGGCTTGTATCTGCTGAACAGGATCAACCAGCAGCTGCAACTTCACCATCAACTTCCTACAAGTTTGCGAACCCTATACATAAGCGTGCGGAACTCTACGGCCAAGTACAAAGCCAATCTGAGTTACTGTTCCAATCAGCTTCGCACGTATGCCGTCAAAACTGCCCTAAAGCAGAGCGAGAGAGAACGCAGAAGGAATTGAAGAAAGTAATATTTCATGAAGCCTTGCGTGCATACGCTTATTTTTTTAACATGACATATGTTTGTTTCAAAAAAATTCGCATATCGGCACTCCGCAATAATATTCTGCTAAGTTAAAAATCAACAAAAGTTTCAATTAATAGTTCATAATCCCAATTCCAAAAAACGAACTAAACAAAACGAAAAAAACCGAAACTCCCCTCTCAGAGTTTGTCCTCAGTAACATGCACTGGGGTTTATACGACACCACTTCAGTTCAGATCATGAGTTCGAAGAAACAAGTTTAACGACAGTCCCTCACCGAGAAGCGGAGTAGCCCCCGAACGGCGGTTGTCGGCCATGAGAGAGGCCGCACGCAACAACACAACCAAAGAAAAGTCCCTGATCGAACTCAAAAAACCAGCATCGAAGGCCGGAAAGCAACTAAGCCTCCCGTGCCGTTGCCATCTTTTCTCCCCCAGACGCCAACCCGTGAAGCAAGGAGCGTAAATAGGCGAACTCTGGCCATACGAACCTTCCTGGAAATCGGCCCTGGAACTAGGGTTTCTCTGAAATAATATAAAGAACAGATTGGAAACAACCAATTTCAACTAATTTGAATGGTGATTGGAGAGAAGGAAGGCAAGAAGAAAGAGCCGATGCTTTGGAAATCAGAGCGTGAGTGAGGGAAGTGATGGTGAAACACTTTCGCTTTCTCCTCTGGCAGGCGGCCTTAATATAGATCTCAATTTTTCAAAAACGCCCCCGCCAATCAAAATAATAACTATATTTCTAAATTAGTGATCATTTTTCAAAATTAAAAAATTAGTAACACCTCCCATTCTTATATAGTATACACTGATATTTAGGTCAAATTTAAAAATAATGTTTTTAAGCGGCTTCTACAAGCCTAAGCTTAAGTTAGGAGATTCCGTAGGCATATTAGGCCCAATCTTCTCTTTTGCAAAGGGGGTCATTCACCTTTCATTTGTAGAGCTCACTTGTCGGGGGTACCAGTCCAGCTCGCTTGCTAAAAGTGATCCACTGATTTCTCCATAATTACTCCATGAGATTTGCAAATCTCCTACATGGAGGACATCACTCAAGGAGAAGCATGCATCCAATTAAGAGCCGCTTAATATCCTCATCTCTATCATCTCACAATAATATTATGGACGAGTCTTACTTCTTATTATTAATATTTAATTTTTTTCCTCTTGCGGAGAATAAAAATATAAATAAGGTGTCTGTCACTCGAGTGAGAGAAACCCTCGACTGGTTTATCTATATATCTATCTATCTCTTTCTCTCTCACTTTATTCTCTTGGGTTTTATCTCTTACTAAAAGTTAAGAATTGAGATTTAAGGGGGAGGACTTTCATTCCATTCTTTACTTCTTTAATACTCGTTGTAGGATAAGGTCCATTTTGAATTGTGTGAGCCTACAAACAACATGAGATCCTCGTCCTAAAAGGATTCAATACTTATAAACTTCCTCGGGAGATCATAGAGAAAAAAAAGCTTTACAACACCGACTCAAGGCTAGAGTGAACTTAATCTTTCTAATCAATTTATAGATGCTCGTTCGCTTTAACTCCAAAGAGTGCAATAACTATCCACTTTTGTGCCTAATTAGCTTTAAGGCATAATTTTAACTTAGACTATATATATATATATATATATATATATAAAATAAAGCATAAATAAGGAGAGAATGATATGGGAGTTGTAATGAACAATGATCAATCATGTTCCCTTTATAAAATGATTCTCCTATGCATAGAGAAGAAAATAAAATGGTGATATTAGATTCTTATCCTTACTTGGAAGGAATCCACACTGTTTTTTCTAGTATTTAATAAGTGTTGGCTTATTGTCCAACTAACTTTTAGCTCGGCCAGTTGGGTATAGTTAACTTTGGATCGAAGGGCCAGAAATACAATACTGACCTGCACCTCTATTCATAGCATCTTCATCGTTGTCATTCGGTCCTTCAGCACTCTGTTTTCTTCCTGAGTAACCAAAAGCAAATTTGATTACTCTAACGCTTCCTCAACTTTGGCCAATCTATGTTAAACCTTTAGTAGTTCTTGATTCTCTCTTAGGAAGATAGAGGATTGGAGGTGAGAAGCTTGTCAGGTCATCAAGTGATAATTATTGGTCATTAGACACAAGACTGGGAAGCTCTGTTCAAAAGGGCATCTTCGAAGCTGGGAAACCATGTTACATCGATCATCATGGAGGGGTAGAGGGTTGCCGCTGTGGAGTATGAATTCTAGTCCCTCCCGAGATCAATGAAAACTTACCTTTTGAGCTAGTGTTTACCTTTGGCTCATCGACTAGTATTAAAATTCACTTGAATGTGGGTTCATTGCACCTTTTTTTGATAAGAAAAAAGAGTTAACTCACTCGAGTCAGTCACCAGGGCCTTCCCCTTGAGGTGACGCTCCTCCTCACGACTAGATGGTTTGGGTTAATCCAGCTCTTTAAGGTGCTCAGATGATGATCCCACAAGGCGGTCCCCTTAGAGCACTGGCATTATTTCGGCAGGAGATCCAGCCAAGCCCCCAAGTGTAAGGTTGTTAGCCTCATCCCTTGCGAACAGCTTGAGGAATGTTTACACATCCAACTAAGTGGCAAGCCCTGCTTCTTGTCTTTCCACCAAAAGCCTCCCTCCTCATGATATGCTTGACTTCGCGTGACTCACCATCCTCTTAGCATCCTGCTGTTGCGCACTCAAAGGATCTACAAGTCTATAACCAAAAGGTAGCTTTTAGCTTTACTTGAAAATGTTGGTTTTTTATGAGGATTAACTCATATGTTCAAACTCTTTGGAAAGTAATGGTCAAAGGAGTAATGAAATAAACGAGAACCACACCTTCCAAACCTTCGGGCTCTCCAGCCATAACTACTTTGGGCACTGGTCACTTTGCCGCTCTGGTAGCGACAATACAAGCTTACTTCTTTGCCGCCAAAGCAACCGCTATTGCCACCTTTCAACCTTGAGGGTGTCAGAGACCTTTGAGTCATCCTCGATCATTTCTATGTGAAAATCTAGTTGTAGCACCATATTGGCAAGGACCGACTCGTGGTACTGATGGGTTGATAGCTTGCTACCTTTAATCTTACTGGCCTCCAGCAAAACCCCAGGCGACGCTTTCCTTTTCACCTTCTAAAGGGCTTCCCTGGATGAGACTATCTGAATGAATCACCATCACCAGAAGGAACCCAAGCAGAACCGTTTATTCCAACCATTCACCTGTTTTCTAGCCCAAATAGCTAAACCTGTCTAATAAAGAAAACTGAACAAAATCTTCTGGATTAGCTCATAACGAGAACATATGGTCATCCTCGCTCAAGGGCATACCTCCCACTTCTGGCGCCTAGTTTTCTATCACCGATGCCTCAGTCGAACTCTCATTCTGCCCTATTGGAGCTAGAATATGATACAGTTTTATTTGAGCCAGATCATCTGCACCAAGTCATCATAAAATAAAAAGACCTAATATCAAATCCCACAAACAAAATAAATCCCCTTGTAAGCAAGATTCAATTCAACTCATACATTGTAATTGATATGGAGGGCTCACCATGGAGCACTGGTGAAGTCAACAAAACGTCATAGGCTATTTAAGTGACAAGGTCGGTCAAAGGGTCTCAAGCTACAGTGAACGGTTGAGCGGTCGAATCAAAGGTTGGGTTAGTCGGTTGAATGTTCCTTCACTTAGTTTCGAGGATCTAATCAGACGATCCTACCTAATTCGACGGTGGGAGGATAACTTTTTTTCTTCACAATAATCTTTTCCTCCTCCCACCCTCTGTTTGATTCTGCCAGCTCCGTTTTCCGAAGGCGGAGTGAATCAAATTCTTGAGGGGAACATCAAGATATGATATTGACAAGTTATACATCATAATGGCTAACACATGAAACTCAGCCAATTCAAACAAAGCAAGACGCGACAAGAATTTGGAACGAGGAGTCCCATTGCATCATACTTATAAAAATCAAAGCCATCGAAATGAATGGAGTTCAGTCATTGAATCAATAAGTAAGATTAAATAAGAACTACTTTTACATTAAACTCTCTTATTTCTTATCACAACATTCCATTAAATATGTGAGAGAATTAGAGAACTAAAAGATGTACATTAAAAGAGGTGTTTGTACAAACCTTAAACCCTGAATCTTAAAGAAATCTAACGATCCAAAGAGAATACGATGAAGACTGGCCCACTGCCATGAGTCACAGAGTTCGTTTGACCAAATGAGCAAAGTCATAAAGCTAAGCCAACTAGGTTAAAACCAATTGAGCCACGAAGCAAACAAGAAGACGATTGGATGATTCAACCATAACTCATGTCCGGAAAACAAGACAAAAGATCGTCTAAGCCAACCAGTAGAGCCGACCTAATGAAATAGACAATTCCAAAAAGCATCTTTGATCATTTTAGGGAGATTAAAAGACTCCTCACTGGGGATCAAAGACGGTCAACCAGACCTGGTCAACTGACTGAACCATGCCAACTAAGCTCAGCCAATCGAATTCACCCTTCAATCTGAAGGCAACTAAACTTAACCAGGTGAGCCAAAAGGCAGTCAAGCAATAAGCTCACACTAAAAAAATACCAAGAATATCTTAGTGCAGACCCATTCTAAACAAGAGTATAAATATAATATCACTATTATCCTATCTCCTTCATAAACATAAAATTTATTTTATGAATAGAGCACAATTAATTAATATTCATCTCACCCTATCTCCTTTTTTACCTCTATCCTTTTGAGTGAGATTCAAGGACAATCTCAAAATCCGTAAATCCCATTTTCTCGACTTTGAGAGGAGATGCACATTTTATACATGGATAGTATTATATTAATATGGTCAGCACAATATTTTTAATACAGCATATGAGATTTAAGTGGGCTCATCTTGGAAAGGCAAGCGAAAGTTAAAGCTAGAGGCCGGTAATTGTCAAAATAAGTACTTATTATATGTATATATGTATTTATATATATATATATATAATATCAAAAATATTTATTTTTACATATTTGTCACATTATCTTTCAATGAAAATATATGTTTCACTTTTTATAAATTAAAATAATAGCATTTTTTTTATGTGATACTAAAATTTTAGATCGCATAAATATAAAAAGTAAAATTTAAATGTTAGATACATAAATACATAAGAATTGTGTAGTAGTGTGTAAATGGCCATAAATATAAACTATATATAATTAAATCAGGAGCAGAGAGAGAGAGAGAGAAACAATGACGGCGATTATAAGTTGACCGGTGAACCTTCCAACATTAAAATAGTTCTCGTCCGCTCACATTTTTTAAGAAAATTTATATACGTAGCCCACATTTCTTATTTTTTTAGATATCTCACGCCTAAACTTTCATATCTATGTACATAACATTATGTTCATCTTTATGTAATTGATAAATGCAATTTTAGCCGAAGCATACATAAAGACATGTAAAAGTATTGCAACTTGACTATGCATAAATAGGCTTTGTTAGACTAAGCATTTGGTACAAAAATAACATTTTTTCCCCAAAACTTCTTTTATTGGTTCTTTCACGATTAAGCTTTTTTTATATGGCTACTTCAATATGCAATTGAACATAAAAATAAAATCAAATTAAAATTATCTTCTAGCTTAACTTCAAAACCTTAGCTTTAACAACCTTTATTGCCTTATTTACTTTAGGAAGATTCACATACCATTCAATTCCTAAGTACTTACATAATTAAAATCTAAGGTGGTACTTTTTATGTGATATGAAAGATTTGGGTGGTAAAGGTAAAAAATATATATAAAGTTTGTGAGTTGGATGTGTAAACATCATAAGAATTGGGTGGTATGTATGAAATGCCCCATTAATTTAATATAGAAAGAATGATTGGTTATCCCGCTTGGAGTTGTCATCATTTCATCAGATAATTTTGTTGATGATGTCAAGGAGTTCAAAAATCTCTCATCATCAAAAGTGAGAACATGTTGTCAAATGAAATGAAATATTCATGTTCTTAGTGGGAACGATATTATCATATATGCAACAATGTTGCATTTTATCAATGACAAAAATGATTCACACCATACCATGTAGGATAGTATATACAAAATAAATCACTGAAAAGGCGACACAATTATTTAATGTTCATATTAGGAAGATGTATTTTGAACAAAATTCATATATCAATGTGATTAGAGATGCATGTGATCCATCAATTATTGAACATGTGATACCCAAACATAATTTTCAAATTAAAAAAGAAACAAAGGAAGAAGCTTCAAAGTTCAATAGTTTAATAGAAGATACCGTTGAGGCTTTATGTTAAAATTGTAAGACACTCAAATTTGTCAGCTATTGAATTACAAATCAAAATCTTATGAATTGAATACTTGTCATGATCACTCTCTTTTTCATTGAATCAAAGGCTCTTAAAAATGAGAAGTTGGCAAGTATGAAGTATCAAATCAATAAAATGATGAAGCAGCTCAGACTAAAAATTAAGAATGATTGCATGTTACTACTGACTCATCAAAGTATACTAGGTGCATATGACCACTCACTAGAAACTAAAAATAGATTCAAATGGTTAACATAAAAATGACACAAAATATGGTTGACTCCTACTCCAAAAAAAATTATTTGTCGGGCAAAAGACTATTGAACATATGATTTGACTAGCTATAAATATAACACTTGAATCGGTACTAAAACATCCTTCCAGAGTAGTTGATGTGTATAAAATCTGAAGTGATATATGATGTGCTTTCTGCATTATTTGTTTCATTTTTATGTTTTTCTTGGGTATATTTAATTTGTATGTGCAATATAGAGATAAAACAGGAGCTTTTGAAAACCCTAGGACAAAGACATTCCACTCTTGAAGAGAATTTTTCTATACATTGTGAAACTCTGAATGAGTGATTATAAGTTTGTTTGTATTGAAAGCGTGGATTGAATTGAGAGGAATCAAGGAAGAAAAGCAAGGAGAGAAGAGTAAGACCGATAAGATTTCATTTTGGGTTGTAATTCTCTTGTATTTATGTATTTTGCAATTTCTTCAATGAAATCCTTCGTATAGGAACTAAATCTTTGTTTTTTTTTTAATTATTTGAAAATGTAAAAATTCATGTTTATTGCATGGCAATTCCCTAGATTCATTAAAAGCATGCCAAAATGTTAACCTTCCAAGTTTATTTACTTTCTTGCCGGCCAATAGAAATATTAAAATCTCTTGTGATCTAGAAACTATTGAAATTAAGCTGAAAGAACAAGTTAATACTCAATCATTTTGTAGAATAAAAATATTGGTAATAGGATATAGCAATCAAATAGAGGAATGAAAATTCTTTGGTGATTATTCAAAGTTCAGAGAACTTGACTATAATATGAGACCACAACATTTCTTCTACCTGGGGATCAAATAAGAAATGTCTTTGATTGTCAACATTTTAGTAGCGAGCATCATTCCAAAGAGATTTGATGATTCACATAATCTGTTTCAAATAACATTTATCTCAACATTAGATAAACCAAACCCATCTGTTTTTTGTTTTTGAAATTAAGATTTACACTTTAAAAAATCTAAAATGCTTTCATAATTTTGATCTAAATTAAAGAATACTAAACTAATAATTGGATTATTTGAGAAATCAATCAATTTCTTGTGGAATCAATACATGGACACAATCCTTATACTACTTGATCCATATGTATAATTACATAACATCACATGCTTCACAACACTTCATGAATCAATAGTTTAGAAACACCTTGACTGTACATATCCAAAATGTTGAAATAGTATTTGAACAAATAAATTACACCTATTTGGCCAATGCAGCGTACTATACACATGTTGGTCAATGCTTGCGATTATATACAATTTAGCACCATGCTTATCTGCCCCCATAATCATAAGTCAGCATCGCTGCCGTGGCCACTTACCCCAAGTTCAATATTGATACCATTTTTTTCAAAACAAACTTATCATAGCAAGCACTTCTCTTACACCAAACCAAGTAATTTTAGAATATTACAAATATACTACACAAAAATTACAATGATACCTTTTACACTACATTCTTTTTTTTTAGCAAACAAACAGCCCCTTATATAACGCTATATGACATGCCAATTCGTATTTAAGAATAAGCAATAAGAGAAAAAGAAAACACACTTGAAAATGGTTGGAGAATAATATAAGGACGAGTAGGCTTTGCTTAAAAAATCACTACGAAAGAATAGAGCAGACGGAATGCTCAACCTGATTGCCAATTACCAGAACTTGTTCACAAAGCCCTAAATTTTTAAATAAAGCTACTCTAACGAATCTATGATAAGTCTTATCCCACCCGCGTTCACAATTTTACATTTTTATTCCCCCTGGCAAAATCTGTGAAAATTTCAGTTTTTTCTAGCAGCTTCATATAACACAAGTTCATTATGTTAATAGTTGATATGCATTAAAATGTGACTTTCAGTTCAGTGCACTGTGCCTCAGCAAAATGTTTTCACAAAATGAATAAAAAAAAAAAAACATAGCCTCATCTGAAAGCCTTTTCCCAGGAAAATTTATTAGATAAAAATAATACCATGCAAATATATATCACCAATTAAAAGGCTACACGATTCTATTAGGTGACCCCCCTACTTATCTCACTTTACCAAAGCACCACTTCTGAGTTCTGACTTCAGCATCTGGTCGAACCAGCATCTGCCCTGCCTATTATTACAAATTCATTATAATTTGCATGTTACTTATCTCACCTTACCAAAGCACCACTTTTGAGTTCTGAATTCAGCATCTGGTCGAACCAACATCTGCCCTGCCTATTATTACAAAATCATTATAATTTGCAAGCCTTTATGCTGCATTTGATGATTAGGCCACATCTAAATGTATTTTTTTTCAATCAACCTGACTTGTATTTTGCAGAAACTAATACTTGAATAATATCCTAGAACATAAATAACAAAAAAGAAAACTATGATGGCTGAAATGCAGCTGCCATTTGATAATGTTGTTATGTTTTCTGTGAAAAGCTTCAGAAACTATGAAATAGGTTGACATCAAATATCACACCAAAATAAATGGGAATAACTAGCTTTAGTCAAGGAATAGTAAAGACAAAAGCACTGAAAAACGACAGGCGCCTAATGCCGAACAACACTGATGCGCGACACATACATGCAGGTATAAAATCAAACATGAAGCCATGAACTACAGAATACAAGTATAGCTGAGAAATAATGCAAACATTCAACTAAATAATCTACGAAATTTCATCACAAAAAGTAAAAATGCCTGCAGTAGAAAGGCAGAAAACAAATATATTTAAAAAAAAACTGACAATATACTCTTACTATTTGGTGATTCAAACCAATTGTCATTATATAAATAAATCTATCTGAGATTAAAGGATCATCAACAAATTACAGACGTTTAATCTGTTATAACATAGAAATTAATAATACCCAATGACCAACTGTGGATGCAGAGATACTTATAACGATAAAATTAGACCACCATACCAATGAGGGATGGATCAGATCCATTGAGACTAACGTAAAGCATCAGATTCAACAGCAAAAACAGCAACAAAATCCCATAGCATCAGCAACCACATGGGACAGCAACACAGCTTTTGCTCATCTCTCACAACACACAGCTACAGCCTGGGCCATGTTAACCACATGTCCGAAGATAACCATACGTCAAATAACTCTTGTTATCTCATTCAACAAATTGAATCTCAATGGAAAGAAAGTAGGAAGATTTACATAAATACCACACAATTCCTATGTATTAGCATATTTAATACCTAAACTTATATACATTTTTTATGTGATATGCGAATAGATAGGAAATGAGTGGCATTTATGTATATCTCCTCCAGTCATGCACAAATTATCTACAATAGTTTGGTCTTAAACAGAAGACACGACTTACCTGACCTTCCCGGGACCAGAATTAATAGTATTTGAAAAAGGAAAAGGAACATTTCATGGCTCCCAGTCTACAAGGTTAGCATGGCTTTCAATACTAATGAACACCTTTTTGTTACGAACATCACCTTCCATCTACCACAATCAGCATCATCAATGATATCATCGAAATGGACAACCATCAACAGTGACTACAATATCAGCAAGACTCTCAAATTTCCCTCTTTTTTATATTTCAATTAAACTTGATTTTAGTAGAGTAATGAAACCTTTTATTTTTCCTAGGATGAGACGAATACAGCATGTCGTTACGAACATCACCATCCATACATCAACATCAGCATCAAAGATATCATCGACACGGACTAACAGCAACAGCAATGACACCACATCCATTTGGATCATCTCACAATCAGCCGCTAATCAGCTACAATTACTGTTTTCTCCAGCAAAACTGGAAAATGTAGGATCTACCACAAGTCAGCATAGCATCAACAGGAGATAGTCATCACAGTTCAAGGGTAAAGTTTAAAAAAAGGTACATCACAAATTAACAGTCTTCCAACAAAATTCAGTTACCAAAACTACAGCCAAAATGCAATGCTACCAGTTTGAGAAAATGTGCCAGAAACAAAGAAATAGATTGTAGCAACTGAGAAACAAACTCATGACCTTGGAAAGCAGCCCAGAGCTATTTTAGATTATATGGGCAAGTAGGAAAGGACAAATTATCTGCCATCCTTCAACGAGATCTTGAATCAATCAATCCTGCAATAACATAAATCAACAACATATCTCACATAAAGCATGTCATGACTATGTTCAAAAAGCAAGTGAAATTTTGAAATAGATGAAGACCTCATCAGAATTGCGAGGGGAGGGACTACGGGAATCAGCATGACGACCCCTCGGAGAAGCACTTCTAGATGGTGAACGCTTGCCACTGCTGTGTTTGCTGGGGCTTTCATCATGGTAAGGAGGACTACGACCGGGAGATGGAGATGATTTCCGAGGAGACATGCTCCGCCTCGGACTAAGACTACGACGGTCTGATGCACTGTAAACAACATACAGATTAGAACACAGACTAAACCATTTTTATAGCAATGAATTAAAAACTACCTGTCAATGGAGCGGCTTCTGCTCCTCTCCCGTTCATCATCATAGCCTCTGCCTCTACCACGACTTCTATGATAATCAGGGCTCATGCTACGACTGCGGCTTTGGCGACGATAATCTCTCTCCCTCTCTTGGTATCTGTCACGTTCATACCTCCCTCTACTTCGACTGCGGCTTCTCCTTCTATAATCCCTATCACGGTAGTAATCTCTATCTCGATGATAATCATCTTTATACCTGAGATCATTACAAAAGAATTTAAAAAAAAAACAATCTTTCTCATCATTAGCCCTATGAAATTCCAATTGAGTGCTACATGACTAAATTGTAGTAGCTACATGTCTTTTGCATAACTTGAAGCCTTCCAATATGCATGCCTAAACCAGCAAAGTCGATTTTGTACAATTGTATACTAAATTACGTCTCCCTAATGCAAACCTTTCACAATTTACCCATCCTATTTTTACCATGTGCCAATCTTTCTCATTTTTTCCATAGTTCAACAAGTCTATTAATACCTTATTTGATGAACATGCAAACTAAACTGAAAAAACCCATAATGCAATTAAAATTACCATCCAAGCAATCTTCAATATGTGAATGCATCTAAATGCAATGACTTCCATGAGATGTTCAGTTAAGTGCAGACAAATGTGATGCAAAAGGAGAGTAAATTACTAAAACACACTATATAGAATTAGATCAGTGTTGTACAACAAACAATGATCAATAAAATGATAGCTTAAAATGAAACTAACTATAACCAGATATGAACATAAAAAATGTTCATATATTTAACATCAAAACACAATACTTATTATAAAGGTATCAAAAGATAACATAAACTCTTACTTAGGCCTAGGACTGCGGCTTCTAGACCTGCCCCTTGACTTTGGCAAAGCTTCAACAATTCTTCCTTTGTGGCTGCAAAAATAAATTTTGACAGGAATCAGCACAAAATTTTCAATGCCAAACCTTGCATGTAAAACAGTATGAACTACAGAAATGACAATCTTATACTCCAAGACATCCAAATAGCTTTCATAAAAAATATATGACAGTAAAAACTAGACTGTGCAGTTGTTTTATCAGAAGTGACAGGCTGAATTAGGGTAACATGGCTGACAAGGCCCCAAGCTATAACCATCACCCTACAAACTTACCTGAATAAAGTGAAATACCAAAAAAAAATCTAATCCCGTTAATAAACCAATATCTGCTTTGATAAACATTATATGAGTGAAAGCAACAGCTGAACTGAACTAATAATAAATTAATAAGTTTGCTACATTCTATCAATCAAAATTAAGCTAACAGAGTTTCTTAAACAAAATAATGCAATTAAGTTAAAAGTTAAACACTTGCTCCCAGAATTCATGCATGCATAATCTAGTCTTCATAACCATCCATCCTCTTCAAATTTACAAATAAACTCTTTTCAATCAATGGCTTGAAGCCTGTTCGGATTAAAATAACAAATGCCAATTGCAACATATGGCGCGAAAGATAAATTATCATTATGATCACTGTAACATTGAGGATTAGCATGATAAGCTATAAAAGCAAATTTCCATCATAGTACCAAAAAAAAAATTCAAATGAAAAAATCCAGTTTAAGAAGTGCAAGAATTCAAGTAACACAAAAATGTTTTTAAAACAATACATGCAATTATTCATCAGTTTCAACTGTAATTGCCAATTTCTATCATACTTCAACCATTATTTGCTCTAACAATCAAGTTTAAGATATGCCACCAAATGAACAGCACGAAAGAGAATAAAAAAACAAATCAGAGAAAATTTGCTCTTTCATCTGCCAATTAATTCGCTCTAACAATCCAATTTAAGATATGCAATCAATCCAACAGTGAAGCGAGAGGATTAAAAAAATAAATATATTAAACAAAATTCGCTCTTCGATCAGCCAATTATTTAAAAATAATTCAGGAAGCTAATCATGGCCAAATCAAGTTCTGTGGATGCTATTGTATGTCAGCACTTATGTCTGAGTGCAACAATTAAAAATTTGAATAACTCTTCAAAGTTGAAAAAAGATGATGCATTTACTTAATAATTAATACATTACAATTAAGAAGATTTCAGGGCTTAAAGTTAATGATGCCTACATTCGTTCAGCATTTGGTCCATATTTAGCAAACTGAACCATGATCTCCCGTCCATCCACATTCCTTCCTGTTGTTCAAAAAAATAAGCAAAACACGGATTAAAAAAAGAATAACAATAACAATCAATAAAAGATATAAAGCACTGATTATTGCCAGCTAGGTGCTGCGCTTAGAACAAAAGGAATTAACAACCGTCTAGTTTATCCACAGCCTTCTGTGCCTCATCTGCGTACTTGTACCTCACAAAAGCAAAGCCTCTAGACTCTCCACTCCTTGAAATTCAAGGGAAAGAAAAACAAAATAATTATCACAACAAGCGTAGAAACATCCTTCTAAAAAGCCCTAAACTTTAAAAAATATAACAATCAATAGAGGAACATAATCCAAAACATCTTTTCCCGAACCCTAAACTTATAAGCTGAAAAATCACTGATAAAGTCCAGGAAAAAAACAAATATTTAATTGTATAAGACAGAGAGCATGTGCTTGAGATACCTTCGGTCTCTGGGAATGAATATATCAACCACCTTTCCGTATTTATCAAAGAGGGGAAACAGATCGTCCGCCGTAGTCCCTGCTCAAGAGAATCGAGACACAAAAAATAAGTAACCCCATGCCCCGTACAATTAGGGTAAGGATTTCAATCACATCTAAACATCAAACAACAGTTAAGGGAGAAAATTACTGAATGTGATATTCAGGACGAGGAGAGAGTATGTGTCCTTGATATCCGGCGGACCCGACCTCCCGAAGTGCGACATCTCTTACGCAGGGAAGGCTGAGTTTTGGAGCTAGGGTTAGGGTTGCGAGAAGGGGCGACGGCGAACTGTGGTATAACGTTCTGGTACATATATATGATGCAGAGATTATTTTCCGCGAAGCGGACATTGTAATAACTAATTGCAGATCCAACCCTAATAAAAAGATATTTTATGTTATATTAAAAATTTAGGTGGTATGCATACGGGTGTAAACGACTGCCTCGTGTTTGGTTCATTCATATTTTGAGCTTAAAAGATATGTTCTCATTCGGCTCGTTTGTTTAGCGAGCCAAACGCGAGTTGTTCACGAACAAAGAGTCTTTTTAACAATCCTACTCACGTGGCCATAAGACGATAAGGGTTTGAGCAAAATTTAAAAATTATTATTTATATTAAAACTTCATTTGAATCTAATTTAAGAATTTTTAATCTATTTTCTTAATCAATATTTTAATTGATTATAAATCTTTGTAGCCTTGTAGTCAATTAGATTTTTTTAAAATACTACTTTTATATATATATATATATATATATATATATATACTTGATGAGTAGTATTTCGAGGTAAAACGAGCAGAACACGAACGAACACATCTTTATTTATGTTCGGCTCGTTAACTTATCGAACGAAATTAACGAGTCGAACACGAGCAGTTCGCCAACAACGAGCCGTTTTGCCAGGCCTAGGTATGCATATAAATATGAAAATTTAGAAGTTAGATATATAAATATATAAAAATGGTGTGATATAGGTAATGCCCTACAATTTAAATGAACAAATAAAATCATAATTAATTGCTTAAAGGCCATAATTTTTATTCTTATTGCAAAAATCTCATGTTTGTAAAAGCAAGAAATAAGGATATCACAATCATGATTATTTGAGATTTAATGTTGATTTGAAATGTAAAACAAAAGCCTTGTTAATGATTTTATCAGCCAATAAATTAGTTAGTTAACTAGATTAGCAATATTGTAGTTTAGTTATGCATTATGATCCATTACCATTACTCAAAATAAAAAATGAGATTAACTGTAATCTAATTTTATTTAATGTATTAAAATAATGAAAATAAAAGAAAATCCATCTAAATTGACAAAAGATCATTTTAACTTATTTAAGCCAACTTAACCTACTTATGATTGGTCTTTAAAATTTAATTCTAAGCGAGGTAGAATGATTAAACGGCCAACTAATTCTTATTGTAACTCAAAAATTAATATCTGATCAAATTAAATACTATTTTATAATGCAATATTTGAATTCAAAATCTATAAACATAATCAAGATTGAGCTCTAATATAGTTTACTATAAGGTTGGCTTCCTAGAAAAAGCCTCATGAAATAAACCATTTTAATTGGAAAAGAAAAAAAAAACACTAAATCTTATAGTTGAATTCAGATTTATCCTATAAGACATGCCCAAGATTGAAAAAGTAGGAACCGTGAAGGAGAGACAGAAAGAGAGACAAAGAGAGTACACACGAAATTGCCCCTGTAGAGCAAATTGGAGTATTATAAGACTCTGTGAGCCACTTTATATATTAGAATTGACAAATAAAAGAGAGATGAAGAAAATATTCTCCCTACAGAAGATGGTCCAGAGAAGAGCCCAAAAAAACATTAATACATGCTGCTTTATAGGGGTTGTACAGGGTCTTATTGTCTTTTTGCCCGCTTGAACCTTTTGCTCAATAGGTCCTTGGGTTAGCAGACCGAGCTGATTTCGATCAGATTTCAACTGGACACCAGTTAACCTCAGCTATGGGAAGCAAGTCGATTTTTTAATGGTGTTATCAGTTAGCTTTTAGGTAACTGATCGACTTGCTTGATTATCATTCCTTAGTGATTTTTGGTGGTCCAAGGGGAGATGTCAAGAAAGCTTCACATTGACACTTGTTAGATGGTTGATAGTAATATACCTTTATCTAGTCATTGCATCAATGCCATGTTGGCCTTGGTGGTCATTTGATCATTTGAGTGACCTTCAGTCGGTGCGCAGTTCTTCAATCAGATGGCTATCAGTAGGTTAGGTGATCTTTAGCTTATCAAATTCAATGATAGCTTGTAGCATCTCATTCGAGGCAAGATCCTCATCTTATCTCTTTTAATCTAGACCACTAAATTATCTCAACATTCATGCATATCATTTTTAGGTGTACATTTATAAAGAATTTAAATTTATTTGCTTGGAAGAAAAGCAAATAACAAAACAATTCATATATATATATATATATACATACATATCTAACACTCAAACTTCTATTCTGTTAAAACTCTGTGCATATAATAAAAACGTTTTCCCCACTAAACAATAAGTACCACAACTCAATTATTTCAAAATTCTTGTAACGAAAGAAATTAAGAAAATGATCCAAAAAAAAGGTATTGCAGAGGGGTTGTTTGGTTAAAAACATAAAAAATATGTTGCATTTTTACCATCCTACATTTAAATTTTTGGAATTAGATGAAAGGGAAAGAATTGCATTCATGCCAATCAATTCTTTCTTACGCATTTAAATATCCAACACAAACTTTAAATTTTACATATACATCAACCATATCTGTGCAATAAAACGAGTATTTCGCTTCTTAAAAGCTAAAATTGTGATATTCATGATGTGATGTAATAGATTTGGGTGATATAAATATAAAAAAAACTAAAGTTTAGGGGTTAGATATGTAAATACATAAGAATTATGTGGTATGCACATAAATGCCCAAAAAAGAACTAAGATGCCATGCCCCAAAACTTTTATTTTCCTTGCATTTCAAACTCCGTTGAATCAATCAACCACAATGTCGCTTTGTCTTCCTGTCCAACCCAATACCTTGTGAAAATTGTACGTCCGGACGGCCAACTGTCGGGCGCCACATCGCCATACACGTCGACGTCGGGCGACGTGTCACCCGGCAGTTGGTCGTCCAGACATGCGGACGTAATATTTTTTCTCCTCCAAGGCTCCAATTTTCATACATAAACAATAGAAGAGACAAAGACGAGGAGAGAGAGAGAGAGAGAGAGTTAAAAATGTATCCTAATTAAATTCATTTGATTGCATCTCATTAGATAACTTGTATTTAAAAAATGCATGCGCTACAATCAATCCACAATTCTAAAATACATGTATTTTATAAAAACTCAACCAAACAGCCCCCAAATTAGTATCAAAGAATCCCATCATACATAGGGGCATGTACATACAAACCCATAAGTCTTATGTATTTACATATTTAACTACTAAACACTCATTCGCATGAATACCACTCAAATCATTAACGTTACGTCAAAAATACTGCCATCACAATCTTTTAATAAAATGAAATCAGCTTTTCATGCATAGTTTTATGTAAATATAAAAAAATTGTGTGGCATCTATGTAAATTTCCCAAAAACTTTTTCTTGAGCATGCATTATCATAGAGGTGACAACAACCATTTCTTAGGTGGCAACATTCCCAGTAAATAATGCTAGCATATATAATAACTGATTGGAAATAAACAAAAAACTAAAAATTACATCCACTATAAATTTCTCAAGAGGAATTAGACACAAATCTTGTCATATGAATTACATTCTGCTTGAAAACTGAATAATAAGACGAGCAGGCAAATCAACCCAAATCGAAAAGCTTACAGTTCATGTACGTTTTGGGGGAACATATTGCACGTTGTTATCCGCACAAATATTCTGCATTGGATCAATAGATAAAAATTATACACACATAACCTGATAAACATATTGCACCAAAAATAATCTGCTTTATCAAATCATTGCCACACATAACCTGATATTCTTCTGGAAGTTCCTCAGAAACTGCAAGTGTATAGCACCCAGGGATAAACCTTCCTGCGGAGAAGGGTTGGAAGTATAATATTGAAATTTTACTGGTAGTATATAGTCCAAAACTCATTTCCTAAGTTGCGTTAAGTAATATAGCCGGGGATTTAGTTAGCAATTCATGGGACTTATCTTCAAAAAAGATAGATTATTTATTGTGTTTCATCAATTCTCATAACTCAGAATTCTATGCTATTCCCATTAAAGGAAGAATATAGCTTATCACTATTATCAAGTTCAACATTAGCCTTTACCAAACTTTTAGGTTGGTTTTATAATTTTTTTTATAAAAGAAACCATATTGTATTAACTATAAAATGATATAAATATAACAAGAGCATTTGCCAAAAAATGCGAGAGTAAATTTGAAGGACAAGTGCTCGTCATTTAATTTAGCAATAAAATGAAGGACATGCAAAGTATTATGGGTGACATTATCAGCAGTTAATAATTTGATCAACACTAATGAGCTAGCAGAGACAAGAGCATTAACTACTTTCTCCTAAAAATAAATAGAACCTAGCTCTACATTTTGGAAACAGACCTGAAACAAAGAAGGGAGGGAGATCTTCTGTCAAGGAATTAGGAGGGTAAAAAAGAATCTATTGATCCTTATTTTTTACTTATAATTGACTTGGCATAGTGTAAACTGCAAAATGTGATTTGAGGAGTTGAGCCAGACAACTAGCACAAATGTTGTTCAACTGTTAAAATCAGTTTCAGTTATTCGAGTTAGGGACACTAAACAGTAAAATGATTACTGTTTGGCACGGAGTTGGGCTGAAAGTGCATTCATGGAATGCAGCGCCAATCCGTTTGTCCTGCACGTCATAGGTGTGGCAGTGGTGGCACACGGAAGAGAGAAGCAATCTGCGGCTGTGTTCTGTGGTTAAGGCTCTTTTCTTCCCATTTTACACCTTCCCATGTCCACTTATTCATCACCTTTATCCTAAATATAGGATCCATTAGAGCAAAATTTTAGGTTGCGAGCTTCATTCTCTTTGCTCAAGATTGAGATTGATCTCTGATGTTGCTCTCATCTTCTCTCACTTGGTTCCTACTAAAGTATCCTCTGCCTCTCTCCCTCTGTCTCTCTCTAGTTTACTCATTGCATCATGTGAATAGTTTCAGCCGGGATTTTTTGGATGATTTGCGCTGGAATTTTTTGTTATTAGTTGTTGCTCTAAAATTTGAATTTTCCGTTATCTTGAGCATTTGATGTTACTTGAAATGCTTATGTGATGTATGGCGGGGGGGGGGGGGGGGGGGGGGGGGGGGGGTTGGGGTGGGGGGGGGGGGGGGGGGGAGGGGATTGTTTCGTTATTATTTCTTCCTATCCTTTTGTGATCGTGGTATGAACTTCTTGGATTGTGTTTTTTATTTTTTTTGAACTGTTGTGATCATGGTATAATCCACTTGTGAATTTATGTTGTTGGATGGAGATGATGTCCTTAGATGAATGCATTTCATGGTTAAGCAATTTTATTCAAAATTAGATGTCACCTATAATTCTTGGAGAATGTATAACAGGACCGTATAGTTTGAAGGTGTGTTATAATTTTAGGTGTTTTGTATGCAAATACATTAGAATGTGGTAAGTCTGAAAATTCCATCTGTTTAGCTATTAGTGAAAGTCTCGTTTGCTTTGGATGGGCAGTTGCTGATTTCCTTTTTTGCTCACATATGATTGCTGAGATAATTTTCTAATGATAAGAGGATGTGATACTTTTAGTTCTTTGTTTTAAAAGTACATCAGAATTGTGTAGTATGTCTGCAAATGTGATTAGTTGAATGTTGAGATGGGGAGGATATTGTTGAAATGATCTTCTTTATGCAACAATTGATGTTACCAATAATTCGTGGATGGGAAGGATGTATTGTTTAGCTATATGAATGTCTTACTGAGTGTATGTTTGAAGTAGTGTTTTATGTTTAGGTGTTTCATATGCAAACACGTCAGAATTGTGTAGTATGTCCGAAAATTTGGCATGTTCAAGTATTAGTGAGGAACAATTCTCATTTGTTTTAGATGGGCAGTTATCGATCTCCTTTTTCTCTCACATAGCATTACTTTAGAATTTTTGGTTTTGTTGGTTTATGTAGTTAGGAATGTATTTTATGTCTATGTATATTTAAATCTTGGAGAATTTACAAACATACCACCCAAATCTTGTGTACTTTCATATCATATTAGAAACACTCATTTTAAAGTTTTAAAAGTTGCAATATACTTTTCATGCATATGTTATTTGAAATTTAGGTGTTATATATGTAAACAAGGTTTTGAAAATTTGACTGGACCGATCGGCCTGACCAGTTCAACCATAAACCGATTGTTGGTCCAGTCCAGAAGCGTGAAAAAATCGCTTGTGTGTCGAACCATCAAGGATCATCTGGAAACTGCAGTTCAACTGCAAACCAACGAAGCGGGTCTCATCGCGTGAACCGTTGTGCATGGTTCCCATTATAGCTTCCATTTTTTACGCAATCGTCACACTGCCCGTCGTCGACTTTAAACGGATTGCCTGCTTCTCAATCTTTTTTCTCCAAGGGAGAAAGCTTTTTGAAGTCATTTATGAGGGCAGTTTTGCCGCAAGAAGAAAAAGCAGGAGAGGTATGAAAAAAAAGCCAATGGGATGAAAGCAATTTGTACGAGGGTTTTGCATGGGGGAGTTTCCAATGAAGGAAGGCATTGGAAACGTAATCAAGGAGGGTAAAAAATAAAAAATAAAGTTTTGAGGAAGAAGATGATTATATAGCGGGCAAAGAGTTTCACCTCATTGGAAACGTGGCCGATACAGAGATGGGAGGAATGGCATCCAACCATATCATTGGATTTCATGCCAACATTGCAGATGGGAGCCAATAGGAACCTCGAGGAAACTAAGTTATAAGATAGTTGAGGTGAAGGTAGACAACAATTTTGCAATAGATTTTAAGGTCTTACACAATTCATTTTATTTATTATAAAATCTTTTTAAAAGTTAATTGTGTTATGAGCCTTATATTTCATATTTGAATTCTTTGAAAATCAATTATTTTAAAATGAAATACATACCAAAATTATTATGGTATTTTTTTTTTATTTAAATATTTAGATACTTAATTTATATTGCATAATCAATTTTTTGAAACTACACCATTTATGTTACATTTAAATAAATTTATAATTCATTACGTCATCCGGTTGAACCTACTTGGCAAAGTTTTTTTAAGAAGGGAAGACTCTAATTCATTTTTCTAGTGAAATTGTTTGATTAAGATTTTATGAAATTGAGGGCTTGATTAATGGAGTATTCCTTTTAAAGGCCTTGATCGATGGTGTATTCATGTGGGTTTGTTCTATGTTGTTTGTGGGTTTTGCCTTTAATAATTCAGAGACTATCAATATGAACCTATGTGTATGGGATGTTGCTAATCCGTGTGCAATTGCTCTTGAGCTATGTGAGGTTGTCCCATGGAGTGGTTTCAGTTATATGTGGTCTATGTCTTTGTTATATTAGATGCTTAAATTGGTTCATAAATTTTTTAACTAATCTTTTTGCGGTTTCAGTTGAGCTTTACTGGTTGTCTTTCACGGCATAAATGCAATGTCGTCTTTAAAGATTAGTTAAATTTTAATTAAATGCATTGTCGTCTTTACACCCACGTCGCTCACCCATGTCTTGTAGTTTAGTTCTCATAAAACTTTCGCGCGGTCTTTTGGTTGTATGTATGAATATGCGATGAATTGAAATGACTGAAAAACATGGGGCTAGTTACATTTGAGTTTGGAAAAAGAGTTGAGCCAAGGCATTCTAGTTTGTTAGATTTCAATTATTTAATTTATCTTGCTAGTTGTGAGATTTCAGATGTTTATTTTATGTTATCTTGTTTGTTGTGGGCTTTCAACCGTGGTTATTATCACTTTTGTGCCATGTGAATAAATGATTGGGGAGTTGTGTATTGTTTTCTTGGTTAATTTATGTTTTGACGAGTTCAAATTATTTTCATGCTAGTGGTGGTTATGGGTCAGTCAAAAGAAATCAGCTCGTATAAAGATATGAAGTTAATCTTTTTGCGATCTTTGCTTAAAAAAGGTGAAATTGAAAAATAGGTCAGCACCCATTTAACAAAGAAGAATGACATGACATTATCTAAAGAAGAATGGAATAAATATAATAGAATGCAACTGAAAAATAAGTAGGATCAGTTAAAAAATGATTGAAAAATATGAAAAAAATTAAAGCAATGATCATCAGACTTAGGTTGGGATCCGATAAAGTAAACCATTGATGTTTCGAAAGAAAGGTGGGTTGAAATATTGGCGGTAAAAAATAGCAAAAATTTAGAGCTTCTATCTTTTTGAAGTCATCAACATATTAACTATCAATTAATTTGTAGGTTGTTCCAACTGCTAAGAAGATCAAGTTTGGTGGCAATGAAGCTAGGCTTAAAGAAAAGTTGGACATAATGTTTGGTTGAATCATGGATACATGCATAGACACCAAACAAGAGAGTGCACACTAACACAGCTGGGCATGTAGATATTGAGCAAACAACAAACTCAAGTGAAAGGTCCAATTCTAACCTCAAAAGCTGGATCTACCCGTTGTTCCAAATGTCCTAGAATTGCGAAGAAAAAAAATGCTGTGGTTTTCATAACATGCCAAATTTTGTAATTAGTTAACTCATGTACTTGTCAGTGATAAAAAGTTTGAGTTGTGGTGAGTCGCCCGTAGGAAGCTGTCGGTCGCCGGAATCGAAATTTCGTCACCCGCTTCGGAAGGACGTTTTAATTTATATATAGATTTAAGTTTAGAAAAATATGAAATCAAACTAACCCCATAATTTTCACAGTTTAAATGAAAGAACACTCTACCTCAAACTCGGTATCTATCTCGAGGGATAAACACAAGACTTGAGGATGAGGCTCGATCAAATAAACTAAGAAATATATGACGTCCGTTTGACCTACGAAATAGTTTTATTTGCCTATAAATTCTCCTATTTAATATGAAAAATTAAATAGAGTTTATTTTAGGTTGGATTCGGAAAAGCTTCCTATAAGGGTAAGCCCTTATAGTTAATTACATCTTAAATGACCGAAGTCACTTAAAAACTCTCGATAAAAATAAAGAAAAATTATATTCACGGACTTCAAAAGAATGAGACTTTTCAACGAAATCGAACAAAAAAGTGTGAAAGGGGAATGACTCAAATTTGGAACATTTATTACAGAATCCAAAGGAAGAAGAACTAGGGGATGACACAGATCCAGAGGAGATCCTCGGTGACTTCTCAGTCTACCCTATGGTTTGACTTCCGTTTCAAGGAGAAATATTCAAGTGTTTTATCCTGTTAATTTTATCTATTTAGAGTTTATAATTATGTGAAACGATCACACAAATAGTCTGGAAGATGTGAAGATTTAGATCGTAACGAACGACAACCTCAGAATCCTAAAACGAGTTAGGGCTTAGATCGTACAACAGAACTATACAAATGCCTAAAGAAAATGTTGAGGATTTATTTTGCGCTAGACGAACAACCTCGAAATCCTATGGATTGTTGTTTTAATTTCTAGAAAATGAATGATTTAGTTGGGGAAGACATGAAGACATGTTCTGCTGTTGCTGTTGAAGATGACCGTGCTGCCCATAATGCTAGCTCCAAGCTCTTTGTCGTGCTGAGTTTAAGTTTTCTAGGATGTCAGGTTAAAATGTCAAATCCAGCGGCCCTATGGTTGTAGTTTTTCATATATTTTATAGATAACATGTTCAAGTTGTACAGTGTATAGCATAACAGTAGAGTATGTAGCACAGATCAAGCAGTAGAGTATGCAGTAAAAAAACAGTACAACATGCGGTGTAAAGAAAAGTAAAAGGTACAGCAGGGAAGTGATTATAAGAGAATAACATGTTGTAAACATAAAACAAACCTGTATACCTGGGAGATCCGTTGTTCCTTAGATGTAATTGATGTAACAGGTACAAGCAACAGAACTTGAGGAAGCAGGCTGAAATGTTTTATATAAACGAAAATAAAGAAACGTCACCCAAAAAACACAAGAAAGAACGGTAAATGACTTGTACGAGGAAATTGACAAAGCGATAAATCGATGAAAATCGATGAAAACCGTAGAAAACACGGAAAAATCCAGAAAGAGGACCACGAGTGTTTTGTCCAAAGGTTTCGATAAAACATATGAAAAAGTCCGAAGAGAGGGGACCACAAGCACTCGTGTAGGGCTAGGCTCAACTATGTATTAGTATTCGAGGGTCGTCGAAGGCTACTCGTTCACCCCGATGTATAAAACCCGCCACTCAACTAGAAGGGTGTCCTATCGAACCTAACTCAGAAGGATACTCCTTAGCCTAAATAGGTGATCAACAAGTGGACAACTGATATTTAAAATGTATTTAAAATTTATATTTCCAGCATGCACATAGGTTTCAAACATGCAAAAAGTGGGTTGTATGAATTTTATTTGTAGCGAAAAATATATTTTGTTTTGGAAAAAGGTGCATCTATTCTTATCATATTTCTTTTTATCAATTTTGAAAAGTACTTGTCCACGAGTCGATCGAGTTGTCGGGCATAAGGCTACCAACAACCTAAGAAGGTTCGGGTTAACTCCCGCTAGTATTGTGTCAGTGAATGATACTGTCATCCTACAGCTCACCGGGTTCCTGAATCGGATCCCAATGTCGTAGGATGACATATCAATCTGCTGTATCTCTGGTGTGTCTTTGTCATCACCGCCCTAAGCCTCAAAACAAAACCGACCTACTTGCGACCTTGTTTGATGGTTTTACGTATAGCAAAAGGCTCAAAAGGCTATACGTTGTATCGGACATAAACATCAAAAACCGAACCAAGAAGCAAGGAAAAAAAAACAGAAATGGAATGAGAGAGAGGGAGGAGAAATGGAATGAGAGAGAGGGAGGGAGAGAGGGAGGAACTGATCCACCTAAAACAACGAAAAGACAGAGGATAAATCAGTTCTCAAAACTCATGACGAAAAGACTTGAAAAGCAGGGCCCAAGGTCCTTGAATCAATACAAAAGGATGTCATTTTCTCGCTTTATTAGAATTGGATCAACCCAAGGAGGGTGTCCTTTCCAAATTCTATTTCGAACGAGTCGAAACGGGCCCGAACCGACACGACGATCACCCACAAATGACCTTCCCGACATCAGTGTCTAACCTCCAAAAAAAATCTTCCATAGACTCAATTTGACTCAATCGAATACTCTCCCAAATTGGACTTGAAAATCTTCCAGATTCCATGAATTGAACAAAAGGAAAGTGACCCGGGGAAGACTACCATCACCATTTCCAAACCCATATCAAAATTAAGATTTCTCAACTCCCCAAATTAATCAATAGCTTCATATATCAAATAAACATAGAGTCTTTCAATAAAGCCACATAAATGCTCACGGTCGGGGTCAATAGAGAAGAGGAAGCAGCCACCAAGGCTCTCGGCTAAGTCCACCAACAGAACAAGGCACTCACGGCTAAGTCAAGAAACAAGGCCAAAAGAGGCTAGAGGGTCACGGGGAAGGCCCACAAAAAGAAGGTAGAGGGTCATGGGTAAGGCCAACAAAAGCACAACCGAGCTCCAAACTAGCTCACGGGTAGGAGCCAGAACAAACCAAACCAAATTCCATATAGGAAGCTCACGCCACAGATGGCAAGCGGGAACCCAACACAACACAAATCCAAGGGTGGGGGACGAAAAGGAAGCAGACCTATGCCTACTAATCTCACGGTTAGAGGGCAAAACGGAAGGCCACAAGGGCAATGCCCACTGAACAAGGCTCACGGCCAAAGTAAAGAAAAATCAGCCCAAGCACAAGAAAGGCTCATGGCCAAGGCAACCCGAATCAATTCCATGTGAATCTTTGATATACATAAGAGAGTATAAAATATAACCATAATTTTGGGATGACAAATTTGATTCTCCAACAATCATCCAAGTAATTCGAGCCCAACAAGAAGGACCAAATCAAATTAAACAACCATCAATATGTCTCACGGGTAAGAGTAGGAAACAGCTCAGGATAGCCACCAAGGCTCACAAATAGGAACAACACAAAAAAAACACAAGTCAGACCCTCGGGTAAGGGCCTAAGACAAGCCAAACTGAGCCCTCAGCCAGCCCTCGGATAGAGACAGAAGCAAGCACAGGGCAGCCACCAAGACTATCGAGTAGGGACAAGTATAAAGCCTAAACATAGGCTCTCAGGTAGGAGCTAAACTAGCACACTGAGCCCCCAAACAAAGCCAAAACAAACCCCTCAAGGTCCATAAATGAAGTTCAAACAATTAGGACAAAGCCTTAACCAAAACCAAAAGCCAAGTCTCAACAAAGTTCAACCTCCAACCCTTCCAAAGTGAAAACCGAGCTCTAATAGGACCAAACCCAACCTTTGAAGGCCAACAAATGAAATCATAATAACAAATCCACACCCAGCCACCTCATAATGAAACCGAGCACTAATAGAGATCAAAACCCAATCATAGTAAAGGTTCAAAACCCATGCCATCCAAGGGTTAAAGTATACCCATATGCTCTTGAAACATCAAAATATGGAGCCAAAATAAGTTTTAAACTGTAACAGCAGCATGAAAAATATTTTAAGCTACCAATACAATTGCTCTAAGCATGAAAGATGTTCCCTTCCCCTTCGAGGAGCCAAACCAAACTATCAAAGCAGGATATAAGACACTTCCAAGTTAAATAAATTTTCTCACAACATATATTTCAAGTAAGGAAAAGCTACAAGGAGCCAAACCGAGCCGCAGCTAAAGCTCAGAACCCGGCCACAACAAAAGCTAGAAAACATCCTCATGCCTTCAAAACATCAAAACATAGGGCCACCACGTGTTTCGAACAAGAACAGTTGTAGAGCTTCCCCAAATCAAGATGAATTTCTTCATAACATGCATTTTTAAGCCAAAAAGGAATTTAAGAAGCTAAAACCGAGCCTTCCACATGCGTGAAAGACCAAATAAATCTTCCAATGTCTCATGCTAGATACGAATAAATGAAAAGCTTCATGATACATATTCTAACATGCTTGAAAGAGGAGCTAACAATGTCTCAAAGCCATGTTTCAACCCTCCTAATTGCTTCCAATAGAAATATGCTACAATAAATAGAAACATGACATAACTTCACCACTTTAAGCAAGTAATCAAGTTTAACTCCTAGAACATGCTCACATTTCCATTTCTAGATGTTTGAGTACCAAATATTTCAAAAAAACATAAGTGTAATATCACGCAAGCATGCTGTATCGTCCATTGCACCATTGCAAGGGCCTCGGCAGAGAGAAAACCAAAGAAAGACAAGGCACAGAGGGGGGAGAAAGTACTTCCCTGAAGCAAAGAAAAGCCACACAGAAATTTTCAAAACACTCCTCCACTTCAATCCTTCCTCCAACAGTAATAGGGAACCAACTCAATTACAACAGGCTAAAGAAGTAAGTGAGAGAAGCAAATGGCAGAGTTTTCCCCTCCTCAAAGATTATCGGCCCCTTGAAACGTACCAAACAGAGTATCATATAAACCAAAGAGAAGGAGAGGGAATGACTAGGGGATCGCATACGGATCAAAGGATCGAGAGGAGCAGACACCCCATACGAGCATGCGAGAGGCAGAGGATGAGATACGATAAGGGATGGGTCGCGTGATCATCCCGTGTGCGTCTCGCACACGCAGGAACGAGACTCCAACAGCACGAAGAAGAGGGCCAGGTGGAACCGAGCGAGCCGAAGGTAAGGCAGAGGTCCACGGGTTCGAGACTCAGCAGAGGGGAGGGGGAGATAATGAAATTAGGTTAGGATTTAATATAAGGTATTAATTATAATAATAATAATAATAAAATATTGTTTATTATTAAAATTAACACTTAAATGTGTATTTTTCCTCATACGTGTCGTCGCAGTGAAATGAACGTCCTCTTTAGGTAAAATTGACGTTCCGGACGCGTCGGCGCAGTCCGTTTTGTCATCCGGAGTCGTTTAGACAATCTCGTTGACGATAGAGGAAAAAACGCGTCGCAACCCGAATCAAGTTAAAAAATCGGCTCGAAGTCGATTAAACAGAATGGCGAAGAGCGCAGCGGCGCCAAATCAACGAGTACAGGCAATCATAAGGCCAACAGTCCTATAGGAATACTCCATGAGTTCCTTTATAGTAGCCTTACCTGCTAAGCAATAGCGATCAAAACTATTATATGGAACGTCAAGTCGAGCGAAGAAAAGTTTAGATTGCTAACGGGGGGGGCTCCAGTTTTCTAGGAGTAGTCGACAGGAAGGTCCTACGGCTAGATCCTAGGCTACTAAGGAGGGGAAAACTGCACATCGATCGAAATCGAGGTCAACAGCAATAATGAGTCTAGCATATCATCCATTTAATATTCGCGTCGGGTTCATGTCAAGCAGTTTCAGGTGGGATCAATTTTGGGTAAGACTCAAACTTGACCTGTGAACCCAATTTGATACCACTATCAGAAACCCTCATTTTAAAATATGTTAATTTTACACTAATAAAGTATTAATTGTCTTTAAGATTAGAATAAAATTGATCTGAATAATAAGTAGAGTCAATCCAGTCACAACCAATAAAAAAAACTAATTGAGTAACAGAAATTAAAGATCGTATTAACTAGCCCATATCAATTGATTAAGTTGTTTCAATTAATTAATTGCATCAAAAAAAAATAACATTCATTAAACTTAAATGGGATTTATTAAACTAATTGGAAAATAATATACTATTCAAGCAAACCATGTGACTCAAGATATGACTTGATCAATCATCAACCCATGATCGGATATTCCTAAGTTGGCCCAAATACTCACATATAGAAGTACATTGGCACCGTGTGTATGGCTTGCACATGATTAAATAGAACATAATTGTGTTATGATGCATGTGCTAAAATAGAAAATATAATTGCAACATGACGTGCATGATTGCGCGAAGGTCGCAATTGTGGCTGTATGCAGAGAATTGATTAAAGATCGGTCAACTAACCAACTCAATGTATATCAAAAGACATAATCAAAATATGATGACCAATTTGTGAAAAACCTAATGTGTGTTAGGTTGAAAGTCGCTAAACAAGAAACTCACTCTCAAGTCCACCGTACGTGTGGAACTCAATGAACAAAAGAGTGTAAAAAATCTAAGGTTAACATAGATGAACATGATAAATAGTTCGATGGAGAGTTCTTCTAGTCAAATGATAAGACTGAATCAATTTCTAAGCCAATGATGGCCACAAAAATTAAAGAAGATGAACATTATAAACTATAATGATGCATGATGATCATCGTAGTGCTACTCATAATTTTACATGGAGCTCTCATATTGAACATTTCATGAGATGGTATTGCTAAGCTACGCAAATTAACATGTACATAAGCCCAAGAAAGAAAATGGTATTCAAATTATTTCAGTCAATTAAGAGTAACTTTACCAATTCTCAGCCATCGAGCCGACCAACTTCTAGTAGGATCCATGACTGAAATTATCCTGCCAACATAGAAAGATTCCTGCTTTAATAAATCAGGTCCTTACCTGAAGGAAGATAACTTAACATGGTAGAAGCATGACATATCAACAGCCAAGAACATGAAAAACTATCAACTGTTGCTAAACAAATGCATACCACTTTCCCACAAAATGTGTCCCTGTGTGTGTGTCTGTGTTTGTGTGTGTGTGTGTGTGTGTGTGTGTGTGAGAGAGAGAGAGAGAGAGAGAGAGACCGGAGTGTTTGTCTACAGGCTAACGCTAGGGTTACCTCCATCAATCACAAACAGACCCTGGTCAAGCCCAAAATGTCATGTTGGGTTAAGGAAGCAAAAGGTGGAACCATGTAAGGTTCGACAAAAAATTTTGTTCACAAAATTTCGTAACCAGGATGAGCCAGCTACACGATAGACATGGATAGGCCTCCCTCCCTCCCATGATACAATGGCCCACATCCCTCGTTGCTTAAAATTATCAAGGAAAACCCTTTCACCCATACGCCTAGGTTTCTTTCCCACTTATACATTTTTCAAGAGGAAGACACATATCGAAAGTCATCATACAACGGCCCACATCCCTCATGGCTCGGGTCCATGAAAAAATCATGACTCCTCACATTCCCATACAATCAATTTGAAGGGATTCTCAGCCAACTCTCATCCACCCTATAGAAGCAAAATCCAACATCAATGTAGCCATAAATAGACTTGATGGAAGCATCCAGCATGTTAAACTTATTCTTCGGCTTTCCTTTCAATAATTACCATTAACTCTCTCTCTCTCTCTCTCTCTCTCTCTCTCTCTCTCTCTCTCTCTCTCTCTCTCTCTCTCTCTCTCTCACACACACACACACACACACACACACACACATGCACTCAAGTTTTTCTTCGAATTATACATTTTTCAAGAAAGAGGCACATATCCATAAGCATGATACAGTGGCACACGTCCCTCATGGCTTACAATTATCAGGAAAACCCTTTCACCCAAATGCTTAGGTTTCTGTCCCAGTTATACATTTTTCAAGAGGAAGGCGCATATCAAAAGTCATGATACGACGGCCACATCCCTCATGGCTTGGGTCCTTGGACAAATCTTGACTCCTCACATTCTCATACAATCAATTTGAAGGGATTCTCATCCAGCCGATAGAAGCAAAACCTAACATCAAGGTAGTCATAAATAGATTTAATGGAAGCATCAAGCGTGTGAGACTTATACTTTGCCTTTCTTTTCAATAATTACCATTGACCTTCTATTAAAATTGATTAAGAAACAGAAGTCCTGTATGATTACGAAAACTATCATTTTGCTTTAAAGCTTCTACATGAGGAAAACACTAACAATCATAATTTCAGAAAATGTCTAAAACTGAATGTGAATGTGATTCATGTTTGCCAAATCAACACTCCTTATCCAACAGTTGGAGGCCGAGGTATAAGTAAATGAAGAGCATCAAAACTCGCCAGATTTTCTTTCTATTCCACATTATCACTAGCACCATAGCTTAATGAAGATAAGAGATGAGGCATTGGAAAATAACAAGTCTTAATGATGATAAATTGTTAAGTGTCATTTAAGGCAAGGGAAGGGAATGTCTCCAAAACGAGATGCATGCATGCATGCCGTGCTAAAGTAGTTCAAACAAAAGCTCATCTAGTTATGTTTTCTCATTCAAACATCTTGTCTCCAATTATGAATCTAGTATGAATCTTGAATAAGTTGGCTACAACTAGTCACTTTGAAAGCCATATAAGAAGGACAACATGTTTTTTCAACAAGATCGAAGAACGACACTCAAACGTTGATTTACTCCGATGTTTATGTTTAGTCATTACTAATTTTATCCATAAAAACAAAACACAATAAATTTTCTTTGGTAAAGCACACATACACCTCTAGGATATAGTAAAAAAATAGGAACTAGACGTCATTAGCTATCTCTATTTCTATTTCATACAACCTGCTTTGCTTTTAAAATATGCATCAAAACTTATGAGTGGAGCTTCTTTCCTTAGGGCTTTAGCTTTTCAATATAACCAATCTTGACTATCGCCTTAAACCAAAAATTCTTTGATGGGTAGAATTTCTTCGCTATAATAACATAATAAGACAATAACCTAACCAAGTTCAAGTTTATTGTTTCAGGGGTTAAGTTCAACTCCTTTCTAAAAAAAATCCCATACATATTCTAAGAGTAAGAGGCAAGCATATTAAATAAGTTGGTTACAATTATTCATATGGTCAAGTTATGAGAATGGAAGCTGCATTGTTAACAAAGTTGGCTTCTAAGGCCGTTGTCTAGCCTTCAAAAAAAGGCCTTTTAGCTTGTCAGGACCCAACTTAGCTCCATTGTTATGCACCTTTCATTCAAGTTAAATGAACAGGTTTTCCAAAAAATGGAAAGAAGATGGCAGGTTCGTTGGCCAGCGCTTGTCTCTTAATATGAATACAGGTGATATTTGGAGCAAGTAAAAGGATATGCCTAAGCTCATTATTATGGAAAATAATAAATCAAATGGTTGTATATTAAGATGCTTCATTATAAGAAATCTATTAATGTATTTTCTATATTAGGCAACCTAATTAGAGGAGATCTAATTACAACATCTTCCCTCTATTAGAGATATTCCTAATCTATAGCGGTTGGAGTGTATATAGATATATAACATATTTTTTAATTAAGTAATAAGAAAGAGTTGTTTTCCTTCACATGGTATCATAGCCGACAGTTAGTCGCTTCTGCTCCTCGGTTCAGTATTGTTTTCTGCACCGTCGTTTGAATTATTTGATCATTTGTTTGTTTGTGTTGTCTGCATATCTTCGTTCCCACGCACGGCTTCTTCTGATTTGCTCATCGAAGAAGTAACATTAGGGAACCAGTTAAATCTTCACCTGCTTAGTCTTCATCTTGTGAAATCGGTTGTTCAAGTGTCATCATCCATCGCCATTGGTCATCTCTTGCGACACCATTCCTCGTGACGATCGTTGAATTGTTCGTCGAGTCATTTGTCTCCTACAGATCGATATCGGTCGTCTCTGACTTTCGTCTTGCCTTTCAGCTCGTCTTTGTCATCATGTTGAGGAGTCTATCATTAGAATCAGTTTATTCAGTTTCTTTAAATATTTGGTGATATTCGTGATTTTTGAACATCGGTGAACCTCAGTCTCAAGACAATTATGGAAGTAAAACTCTGAATTATGAAAATCAATGCTCGAAAGTAGTCTACTACTACTGCAAAAAAATCAGGTCATACGAAGAGAGCATGTCAAAAATTGCTTAAAATAATAAGTATCTAGATCACAGTCAGCTCACATAGTCGCTACTAATGAGACCTCTTAGTGTCAAACTTTATCGATTTTTACAGATGAACATGCTAAATTCATCCAATTTCAAGAAACATCCAAGAAATCTCGACCCATAGTCTATTCCAACAACATATCTCCTTTTTGGGTCCTTTGCAATTAGAGCATTCTTCACTACAAATGTTAAAAAGATTATACCCTCAGTTTCAACAATTATCATTTTTAGATTGTGAATCATATCAATTTACTAAACACCATTATTTATCTTCTTTTCCCAAAATTATAAAAAAGTTAGTCATAGTTTTGAGTTAGTTCATTCTGATGTATGGAGACCTTATTCTATTTTATCTAATAGATTTTAATATTTTGTCAATTTTGTGTATGATTTTTCCGTATGACTTGACTTCATTTTATGAAAATTCCTACTGAGTTGATGTCACATTTTCAATCATTTTGTGCCAAAATTAAAATTTAATTGACCATTTGGCCGCAATTTTCTAAATGATCGGTTTCTAATTTAATTTTTATATCTTCACTTTTGTCGCAGTTATGAACGCAAGTATACGTATCGCTCAAGTAATACAGAGCTCTAGTAGAGTCCTTGTTATCGATCCCACAAGGAATACAACGGAACTTTAAAATGGAAAACGTAGTGCAGAAAGCCAATATCCAATTCACAATGCGCGTACTGAAAATATTAAAGTCACTAACAGTATAAAGACGATTAAATATTCAAGCTCATTAAAGTATTAACTAAGCTTCTATTTCGTTATCGATTAGATTGCTAAAATTGACATCATATATCTTTGAAATGTTCCAGATGCATTACATAATCCAAAGGTCATTCATTCGAAAATCAAAAGTTTCATAAGGTCTAGTAAATGTTGTCTTTTATTGATCCTCAGGAGCAATAGGGATTTGGTGATAATAGATATATCCATCCAAAAAGCAGTAATATTTATGCTCAGCTAGTCTATCCAACATTTGATATAGAAAAAGGTAAGGGAAAGTGATCTTTCCTGGTGGCGGTATTTAATTTTTTATAATCAATACAAATTCGTCAACCAGTGACTTGTCTTGTTGGTACTATTTCATTTCTTTCATTCACGTCGATAGTCACTCATCATTTCTTAGGAACACAATGAATTGGACTTACCCAAACAATGTCTGAAATCGGATATATAATTTCAGCATCTAATCATTTTCAAATTTCTTTCTTTACTACTTCATTCATCATTGGATTTAATCTCCTTTATGGATCGACTCTAGGTTTATGCTGTTCTTCTAATAAAATTCTATGCATACAAATCAAAGGACAGATTTCTTTAATATCACCTAAAGTCCAACTAAAAACTTTTATGTATCTTTTTGATGTATCCATTAATTTTGTTCTTGTAAATCGTTTAAATCTGATGATACAATAACCGGTGAGGTAGATAATTCTCATAAAAACACATACTTTAAAATATCAAAAAGAATTTTCATTTCAAGTTCAAAAGGTTTTATAATAGATGAAATTATATTTTTATTATTATCTTCTCTAGTATCTAACATTTCAAATATGTCCTGAACATAATCCAATTTTTCATTATTTATCTCATCTTGATCATCTTCCATTTCATTATCATCTTTAATTTTCAAATCTTCATTTTCCATTTTCTCTTCAAACTTTTTCTTAAAATAATAATCTCTTAAAT